GGAGTTCTTCTCGTACGCCGTTCAGCGTCCTTAAGTCTTGTAGCCATTTGGTCTAGGTTTCGTCGGAGTAGATTATTCGTTGCATTAAGTTGGCTCCAGCTTTCTGCGAGCTCCTCGTACGTCGGAGGCCTTGGCGGGGCGTTACTAGGTTCTGGGTTTGGCATAGGCTCATGTAGCCCCATCGTTATATCTTGTTCGTTTTGCATTCTCAATTCTCTCTCGCTCCGTACGAGAGAAAAGAGTAAGAAGGGTTAAAGTGATCTTTTAGCTTATGTTATGGGCGGAGAGGCCTAGCGAACGAGTATGCTTCTACCTATCGTACAGAAGCTAAAAGATAAGAAAAAGAGAAGATAACTAAGTACAGACTTCTCTTATACCTGCTCGCTTCTGATCACGTGTCCGTACAGAAGGTATATCACGTGGTCGAAGATCACGTGATCCTCTTCAGTAGAGATCACGGGCGCAGCCCTTTACAATATGAAGGTTTCCTATTTAGGTTTAGCGCACCATGTGATGGGCGGCGCCCTTTGTGCGCTTGTTTAGACTAAGCTATAACGAGATCGAGTATATCTATGCGACTACTAAGACTATAAGACAAGCTTGTAGTCTTGTGCAACCTTTTTGGTCACAGGGATGGCGTAAGTAGTCGTACGCTCGGCCCGGTAGGGCCCGGCCCTTACACACCATATCTGGGCGAAAGTCAGGGCAACGTGGTCTGCCTACACGGTTGGAGACGCTAAAATATGACAGCAGGGCACTTGAATCCCTTGCTTCCATAGTGAGTAGTACGCGGAAGAGGGGCTCAGCTGTTGCCAATACACAAGGGGGCCTCACCAAGGACTGAATAGGGGTTGCAGTACGACCCCGAATTCTGATAGCAGAGATAACCACTTGGTAATCGCTTACACGAAATCTAACTCTACTAACACAATGGGGATGCGTGGATATATGCACAGTGTTGCCAATAACACATCGATGCAGTACACAATCCACAGCTCGACATAGTACTGTATGACAACGAGGTGTCTTGGCTTGCGGAGTTCGCTGATCTCTGAAAAACGAGTTGGATCTCGATCGCCGAATTGTCTTTACTGCGAGATAGATAGGCCAAGATTGAATGTTAGTCGGGCACGGAACGTGGTGGTCCCGTAGATGGGCCGGCTAATGCCGCTCAAAGCGCTGTTTCAATCGGTGTGCGGCAATACTTATTATCATTGGGATGCCGGCACCGTGCCGCGTGCCGTGTCACAGCCCGCAGAAGCAATGCTATACTACTTAGTCCTCGAGATAACCGGCCAGTACCGTGTTTTGAAACAGTACTGAACAACGTACGATACCTACAGGCTTTGTCAACTTACGCATGGTGCAATGTCTGTGGATATCCATGGGTAGCTCGTGGATCTTTTTCGTATCTGCAGTCTTCGGAATGCGACAAGGATGTAATGAGACGTGCCAATAAGCCCGCTGCTGGAAGAAAGCCTAGAAGGTTCGCTGCTCAAGTCACGTTGAGCCTGGCCTTACTATATGTCAGCCCGTGCATCGGGTTATGATGTTCAAGGCATGTAGGCAGACCACGTTACCCTGGCTTTTGCCCAGAAATCGTGCGGTAAACCTAGATAGGAAGTTTTTATGCGTATACTGAGAAATTCCTTAGGACACCTAAGCTACTAGGGTGTCTCTATAGAGTTACTGTCTGTTAGCGTCCTTGGCAGGCTGTCTTTAAACCCTTTTCTGAATGGATTCAGAACTAATTCTTCCTATAGTACAAAAAACTAGACACTGTAATAGAATTTTCTCTCTCCCCACTTCAATCCCAGCCTAGCAGTCCTAATAGCAGGGGCAATAGCCCTCTTTACCTAGGTAGCTAGGCTAAGGATAGTGTAGATGAGTATACTTATAGTTGTAGTTATGTTATATTAGTTAAGGTATATAACTTTGTTTTAGTTAAATCGGTTTAAAACCAATTCTGAACCCGTTCGTATTGCCAAGGCTTACTTAATTCTAGTGCACTTTAGCGTGTGATTAGACCTCTTGGCAGGATATGCCTGGGCAGAGGTCAGGGTCGGGTGGTCTGCATCCTAGTCTCTTGTGCCCTAGAGTTCGGACAAAGCTGGGACTAGAATCATCATATCTGAACCTCGGATAAATAAAGCCTCAACCCAAGTCTTTCGATCAAGATCCACCGATATTACTTAGAAGCGATCGCCATATCACAACCCTCGCTACCTATCGGCCATTCTATACTATTTCTTCACATTGGATCCACACAAACGGCGTGTTACGACCTTCAGTTGCTCAATGATGATAGAAGTTGAAGAAAAACCTTCCTACAGAGCTTTCGTCATATCTCCTCCGCAGGAAAACCAAGACACCCCGAAATTCTTCTCAGACGTGCTGATAGAGGCTCTTTACCTCTATGTTTCTCTGCCATTTGACACCACACATACCCTGATAGTATGTGTATCAATTATTCCCTTCAGCATTCCAAGCCATCGCGGCCAGGTTTTCTATCATACAGAAGCCTCATATGCGCAGTGTTGTCAAGGTCTAGACAAAAGATTATTTATGCCCACAATTATTAGTACAGCACAGAAGACTTACGGAATTTACATGCCATATCATCCGTGGAATTTTGAAATGGCTGGTGTATGGTCAGTTGTTCTGGTCGTTATGAGAATCTTCTAGCCCAACACTAACCACGCTTCTCAGGCGGCAGGTACAGGTTTCCTCGGAGATTAAACACGGCAGCTTAACCTGTGCACAGAGATCGGCACTAATCCTCGATCATATGCTAGGCTCTCTAGCACCTTTGTCTGATGAAGAGGAAATCCACAGCCAGCACCATGACTCAAGCTTCGATTCTGAGCAACATTTGTTCATGGAAAAACTCGCGGGATCTATGCTGGGAACACCTCCAGCCGAACCACTGGCCGATTATTCCATGCAAGATGCACAAAGTTGCAGTGTCATGCATACAGCACCCCTAATTCAACACGAATGTCCAATCACAAAAGTTGCGGATGAATTTCTGAACAGCTTCTGCAACATAGAATCCCATGTCATGGCGATCAAGTTTAGTAACCGCCTCTCGAGTCTAACATTCCCAGAGGGCACGTACTCTAAGCCTGCTATGCAGGCCTTCAGATGTTGCAAACTAATAGCCGGTCAGGCAAAGGAGCAACTGAAGAATGCAACCTTCACTCGGTTCTTTTCTCTGTGCTTCTTTCTCCTTTGGGAGGGACTCGCATGTGAACCAGGGAAAGCCGGTGCTCGCGTAGTATGTATATTGAAAAGAAAGTGGAGTGCGAACGAATTCCCTGCTGACGATTACCAAGATAAATACAAGAATGAGGGAAGCTGGCTTTGAGGGAACTTCGCGTAGCCTGAAAACTCTCCGTGATGAAACAATTTTCATAAATCGGCTTGTGGCTTCGATTGATATGTCACATGGGACAGGCGTTGCATCGCTGGTCTTCTATCATATTTTCGGTGAGAGCGTTCGGCTGAGATACTTTCCAAGCTGCTGACTGAACATACGTAGGGGCCTCAAATTACCGGCTTATCCGCCTTATGAATCGTTATGGTAGCGCTAAGAAGCTGCTCGCGATACGAAGAATCTGCGAAAACCTGCAAGTTTCCAGGCTTATTGGCAATCCCCTTCCCATTCTGCGGATACATGATCTGATAGGAGAACATATGCCAGACCTTCCGTATGTCCCCTGTACTCCAGACCGATGCACCCTATTGACAGTTGGCAGGAACAACGTAATCAACGCCGCAATAGGATATTTGGATGTACACACCCCCTTATCCATCGAGCAAGACCTGGATTTCCCTGGGTTCAATCCTCAATTAGCTTTCTCACAGTTATGATAAACATCATGTCTTTTCAAGCCTAACTAAACCCACCACTTCTTGATAACGTCAAAATGTAGTCAAAATAACTTGTGAAGCTAGAAGTGGGCGTGACTAGCTTTTGCTGAAGGCTATCTCGATATGTACAAGCTCAGAGTTTTGAGCAGAAGAAAAGTCCTACACAAAATTATTAGAAGTTCGCTAGCCGTTTCATGTAGACAGACGCTCACTTGTAGACTATCATTAAATTACATTGATGATTACAAACAAAAACACGAGTAGAAGTGATTATTGCTGATCAGCATGGAACCCTACGTAAGCACGAGCTGCCTACTTCTACTGGCTATCTGCCGAAGTAATTCCATCGCAATAGTCCCGCTAAGACAAGGATGCAGCATACTGAAACTTTGTTTGTAGCACTTTTTGCTTACTCTAGCTTATAAACCCACGTGTATAGTGTTCCAAGCCAGGATATGAAATACCGAGATAGTTTATATCCTGTACAGAATACTATACATGGACTAGCGTTCACGTAGACTAGTGAGACATATCTGTAAGAATTTATTGGTTATAATCACGTAGTTATGGGGGGTTGATTTCTTCTCTCATATAACGTTGCTAAACACTGTAACCATTACCTTCCGATTTCTCGCAATAAAAATCTAGCCTGCTCTTCTGGACTGTGGTGTGTGTGACAACTAGCCTCTCTATAGCCAAAAGCCTGTGCGGTTTCCCGTTTATCCGACCCGTTGTTGGGCTGCTTCACTTACGATTATCACACTAAGTGGCATTCAAGTATGTCTAGACTAAATTAGATAGAGGTGTAATACATACGTGGTTGAAGGTGCGATCTATGACGGTGTAATATGGTACTTCTCTCATAAACGATCAGGCTTGCTAAATTTAGGTATAACAAAACGTGATTGTTTTTTGTCTAATCGTTTCATTGAAAATATGACATCGGGGCGGTACTATCATGGAACAGAGCACTGTTCCATGCGTCTAAATTCTCCGTTGTACAGAATACGACACCGTCTCTAGCTCAACTTTGAAGATAGAGTCTAAATCTGATGAGTAAACTGAAAAACGGCATCGTACGAGTAGACTTAGGGAGGAGCAAGGTATCAAGCAGCAATGCGCAAGACTGTGGTCGTTGGGCAGGTAGCCTCGGTTGCTCTGAAACTCGTTTTATTCATGCATACGAACAAACACTATTTCTTGACCATAGAGCACCTTTTAACACGAGATGATTTACATGGGCTTCCTATTGAAATTTTTAGCGCTGACTGTCAAGAATTGACCCACAGGACCCAATTTTGCTTCTAAATAGTAGGGTGTCACATGGTGGATATCAAAAGGTGATATTCCACAACGGATTGTACTTTGTGTGGTCAGCGGCACCATTTGCCCGCGCTTTTTCTATTATTTTTTATTTCTTGGCTGTTATTTCAGTACATAAGGAAGATAATACGCGTGAATGATAGGAAAAATCTCAATCTTATAGTGGTAGTGTAAAGCTGTAAAATTGCCAACATTCTAGCGTTTTGTTAATTTTGGTTAGGTGGTGGCCTGTGTAGAGTACCGCTTTTTGGCCACCGGGTAAGTATCATTTCTTTTCGAGGTAGAGCCTAATAGGATGTCCTCGATGGTATGTCGTAGTATAAGCGCCAGTTGGGGCGACCTTTTCTCTGAGTGAAGAAGCTACAAGTACATTCTTATTAAATAGAAACTCTATTATACCTTTGAAACTTAGGGTAGCATCTTACATATCTGGCTTCTCAATTGTGTTGACTCATAACCAGCGCAACGACATTGTTATGCGTTATGCCACTGACACCTGACCTTCTAATAAAGCATATTGCGTTAGCGGACATCTTGTACATACTTAACCCAGCTAGTTACAACTCCACTAAATCATCCCGATACTAAATACTGTGTTAACTGCATGGTATCTCTATTGTCCTGGTTTTAGCACTGAGCCAAAGTATCATGCATATATATTGTATACTATCATCAAAGAGAAGATTTCCAATCCCACTAAAGTTGTTCCGCGCTACTAGACCTATGGATTTGTAGCGACTGCGACCGGCGCATCTCAAAAAAGATTTCCTGCAAATTAGAGCTAAAATATTTTACTGAAATCTATGTTTCCACCAGTAATTCCTCAGTATTCACAGTCTACGACCCTCTTTTCGCATTAAAGCCAGGACGTTTTTTTCCACAAGACTCCTAGTCTGGCTATCGTTAGTACTTTTCCCGATTCCTCTGATACCTTGGTGTGTGTTTTCGGGTCTTGTAAATCATGATATTGTAATATACCTAAGCTGTTATTAAGCTGGGCCAATCATATCCAGGACATGATAGATCGCTACAGGCATGAATTGAAGAGACTGCCACCTCGACTAATCCAAAAGCCCCACAACCACATCTCTCAAAGTTCCCGCGACCATCTCACAAAAAGCTTCAAAAATCTCACCCTCCTATTCCCCCTTTAGTTCCTGCAGCAGCACCTGCTAAATCCCAAGTAGCACGACTCCATGATATAGAACCCACCGCGGTTCTGGCAGTACCACTCGCACTTCTTAGCCCAATCAAGACGGCATCCAGAGCGGGCTCCAGGGCAAGCCTAGTCACAGTTAGCATATTGCTTCTAAACCCCGAAGAAGCCAAGTAGAATGAAAGGGAGGAGAGAGGAAAAAACGTACACGAGGAACAAGTCCAACAGCCTCCGCCTCCGCCTCTCGCACCTCAAATCCAGACATAGTTGGTGTGCCAGCTGCAACGGTAGCAAGAGTGGCAATAGCGGCGATGAGAGTGAACTTCATATTTGCTGTTTCTTTTCGTGGAAAAGGACAAGTCTGAATTGTGTCTTGGAGGAGTAGTAGTGATGAAGAAGAGAAGAGATGCTTGATCGATGCTGTGATGCTTTTACTTCCCAGCGGACTTCACTACTGCTTTTATACACATCTTCCCCTCATATCAAATTGTTTTCTTTGCCTTGTTTCAATCATTCCGCCCCCAAGAGAGCTATCATGCGGTCCATGGCTATGCAGTGAATGCGATGGATGCGAGAAGGGCTACTTCACGTCTGGGCAACTTGTGTATGCAAGCCTCGTGCGGGGCTGGAAAGCGCTTTCATTACGGCACACTCCGCAAAGATGTGAAGAGTGATGTGGAGGTTGGGTATAGTGATTGGACAGAGCAGACACACTAGCCTCTTAGTGCCCAGATGTGAAGATATCTTGCAAGGGTGAAGCTTGGTACATTGTTACACCTTATCTCGCTTGCAAGTGCCCATGACGGTACATCGTTCATACCACTTACAAAAAAAGGTAAATTAACTGGCCATTGTACACGGCATAGACACTTCTCAATTTGTTACATCCCCAGCACCGTTTACTTCCACATGTGCCTTATCCGTGCTCGCATTTGCTTGTATCTACCGAAATACCTGTAACGCAAGCGATTGGCCAGCATGCGATCCCTAAAAAGAGGTACCTGCATTACCATCGCTGCCATTTAACCGAAAGGAAGAAAAATCCCCTAAACCGCGCCCCTTCCTCCCCTTGTGTGCGGCTGAGAGAAACGGCAGGCCTGTATGTAGTTACCGTGACGCATGCACATAAAAATGGCCGACGAACAGGCGCGCCCCGCCCCCACTGTCTCTTTCCCCTCTCTCCCCCACAACGTAGCTGTTATGCCGTAAATACTGGGGGCGGAAAACAAAAAGTTGGTGCTTGTCGCAGCTTGGGTAGTGTTAGGCCCTCTGCGATTCTCAGATGCGAGATACGATGGCGGGTAGACGAGTGACATGCTGTTCGTCGTTGGGGGCCTAAAGTGTGCCTTGCTGCGGAAAGGGGTCCTGTGTCCATTAGTGGCGGTTTTCTGTCACTGTCATCTCTGTAACTATAAAAATGGTATGATGTGTTTCTTTGGTGTTGATTTTGAGGGTGATGGAGATGGAGTGGTGGAGTGTGGTGGTTGGTGGAGTTCAAGCGCGTGGCGCTTGGAGAGGGAGGCGATAATACAATGATGCGGAGATGAGGCTGAAGGGTCGTCGTTCTGTATTTAGGATTTGGATGGGCTGTTCTTTGTGGTTATTTTAGGTCGCGGGTTATGTATTAGTCTTGACAATCATAGTTCAATCAAGGAAGAGGGTCGATTGCATTAGTTGGAAACCAATGAGTGCTGATTTGGACGGCCATGCTGGGCAACTACTACCCACGATCTATTCTCAAAACACATTTAAGCAGTAACAAAGAAAAAAAGAATCCCCAGCTGCAATCTGCCAACCCCCATTCGGATATAGTCGATCGCAGCCGGATATCCTCTCACCTCTTCCGGCACCGCTAAATTCAGAATGCACCCACGAAAAGTATATTGCCTACAGCTCTAGCCAGTGCAGCTTCAGATACATACTATGCTATCCGCCTGCTCCTATGACTGCACTTTAATCTAACTACTTGATCTGATCCAGGACTTGTTAAGATGAAGCTGAAATCCAATCACTCATTGCCCAACAAAAGTCTAAGAGAAGTCTTTATTGGAATAGTATCATTTATGTTATAGGTCACTAAGTTGGCGCAAATTAGATTAACAAGTAGACCAGACCAGCCCTCTTATAAATCCAAGCCTTCCAACACATACCATATTCCAAAATCCCTTTAAGCTGCGCCTCCCCGATGGACAACAACAAAACACCCCTACCCTAAGATTTAGTATTCTCTTTCCATAGCCAAAAAGCCCTAATATAGATTATGCACTTACACCCTGGCCATTACAATTCCCACTCAGTATCACACCACCAGTATTACACTGGCAAGATTGCGTGGTACCAACGCATGGCCCACCAAACACAATATTGGATCCCCTGCATGTGATGGCGACCTGGGCTGTTGCCACAGAGAACAAAAGCACGCTGGTAGCGACGATGGAGGCGAGCTGGAGTTGCATTTTGGACGGTTAATTGGGTCGATGAGGTGGATTGAGGTAGGTGTGGAAAGAGAGGAAGTGTGGATAGTGGTGATTGTGAACGATGTTTGGTGGGATAGCAAGTTGTATTTATTAGATTTAGTTACGTCTTCTTTCTTATAAGATTAGACAGTAAGTTGTATATACTACGTGTATGGTTGTCATCTATTAGAGCAAAAGTACGATCAAACCAGCTCTCAGGAGCTGATGTTGTGGTGGATCAACTAGAGAGTGTAGTAGGAGAAGGTCCGAAAGGTACTCAGACGAGGATAACATCATATATATATATATATGGTGTGAGGCGTACCTGCAGAGTGCCGGTCTTTTGGCCCGTTTAGCTGGTCTGGCTCACTGTTACAAGTAATATGATGTTCATCACGTGACTATGCACCATCTTCTGGACATCTCAGCACGAGTGCGCGACCAATAAGCGCAGAGATTCTCAAGAGTCAATCAGATCCGCACTTCTTCGTTCACGAAAACTCAATCCTTCTGGGAACCGATCGTGACATGGCAGCTAAAGCTGCAACCAATTGTTTCAAATCATTATTAAGGAATACAGAACACCGTATTGGATATCATTCACAACCCCCCCAAAAAAAACAAGCGCACAACACCTAATCAAGCAAATCTACCGTATCAATCCTTTCCATGTCGCGCATCTGGCCCCTCACACGTCACGATCCTTGACTTCTCTGCCTCCATAGAAGATTCCATGCACCTGGCATGTAGAATCTCCACCTTAAAATCGACTTGTACATCTACGATGATGCGTTTCCAAGGATTCGCTTCACCTTGATTAGTTATTTGTTTTCCCTGGTCGTCGTGGCTTGCTTCTTCGCAGCCCAAGTCATCAGAGCTGGGGGTCTCGAAGGCGTGCATGTGGCTGTGATGGTTGTTTTTGCTAGTAGATACTCTCTCGTCTTGCTGAGCTTCGGTGCATCGCACGTTTGACTGCGCAGTGTCATGCACAAATGACATGCTTCCGCGGAATAGACACCAGATTTCAAGTAAATTGGCGACGCAGACTGCGAAAGAAGCCTCGCGTGTGTACCAGGGTATGCGGGTTATGGAATGGGCGCTAGTAAAGTCGTGGAATTTTGCTAGAAGCGCGGAAATGACCTGGCGCATAAGCGTCAGTACTAGAGAAAGGCTAGAATAAAATGGCGTGTGTGACATACGATTAAACTGCCCATGCCGAGTAACATGACTAGCCTAATATGTTGCTTGACCAGTAGCGAGAGCGACGTGATTAGCGAGATCGCGATCGCGACGATGGATGCGTCGCTGCTAAGATTGAATATTGCGTGGGCAATAGCAAACTCCTCGACGGTGCTGCAGACTGTGAAGAAGGCAACTTCAACCGCCAGCCAGCCGACGATGATGTATACTGCTGCACCCTTGACCCATTTGGTGACGTTTGTTTCTTTGAGCGTGCGAGCAGATGTTAATAGCATACATAGTTTTAATGCGGACATCAAGTTGTGCATGCACTGTTAGATGTTAGCTTCACGTGTCGATCTATTTTTCAACGTGTTACATGCTACCAACATACCTGCTCAGTGACAGCAATGGCTGTCGATCCTTTGATCCAATTATTGGAGTCATCTTGTGTGAATGCTTCCACACTTTTATTTGAGAGTATGTTGCTTCCGTCTTTGGCAATTGTTTGAGTTGAGATCACTGCCAACCCAGTATAAAGTATTGGCACAGCCGTCATCATAATCCAGTCATCTACAGCGAACAGGTCAAGTCTACGAATATGACGCCACCGGGAGAAGCTGGGATGATCCATTAGCCTCATCTACACACAATAAATTCGTGTTACTGACATTCGTAGCGTGATGGCAACAACACTGATGCTGTACAGAGTCCACGCCTGAAATACTACTCCCTGTGGGAGGTTCGACAAGTTGAAAACTTGCATTGCCACTTCTTTCCTGGTTGTTATATTTGGAGGTATTTCGCTGCTGGAGGTTTGTTCACAATATACACTGTGGACCCGGTCAAGTAACCAAGCTCTCAAGTTGTGTATCTACTTCATGAAAATGGCCGTGAATCAAACGTGAACTAGATGTGTGTGTAGTCGAACTAAAAGAAACAACGACATATAAGTATCGTGCTGCTGACTCGACTAATAAGGTTTGAGATGTGATCATCTTTTGGTTCATCAGATCAAAATCGAGATTGCATCCTCTACTCATACGATGATGCTTACCGAAACGCCTCGGCCCGTCAAGAGTCCCCGCATATCCAGTCGAATTAGGCAATGAGTAGTACTGGTCGGGATTCCCAACCGAGGATCGACGTAGCAATCAATGTGTCGGCTAGTGAGTTCCAGGTCCATATACCAGGAAATTCCTGAAGAGCCCAACACGATGAAATGTTCCTATTGGTGAAGAAAGGCCGTGTGGACGTGAACGAAGCTTGGGCCTAGGTGGATCGCGGGATGGACGGCGGCGGCGGGAGCGGGATGTGGGTTCCGTCCAGCTGTGTGGCGATCACGTCTTAGTAGAGCGATGAATAACATACTTTATTGCAATAAATGAGGCGCCTTCTCGTGCTCGTTTCCGACGCACCGGTACGGAAATGAGGGTGCAAGTCTCGACACAGGAAAGTGGGTGTCGGCGATAAGACTAGAAAAAGCAGTTATGGCTGAATGAAGCTAGCTGGTCTGCTTTCGGATGTCAAGTCATTCGATAAGAGAAAAGGATGTCCAACACCCCGTACCCCCGTATCACTCCAACGCCGTGTGAGGTCTAAGACTGTTCGATGGAGGCAAGGAAAGTCTATTCGAGTAACGTTAACGCCACACGATTGAGTAATCAAAACGTCCCAACATGTGGTGACAAGATAGTTGAAATTATATTTTTCTTTACAAAGAATATATCTCGGGTTAAAATGTACGATTACCCTGGAGAAGATAAAAGATATATGGATCTAAACATGCTGATACCCTCAGCAGTGAAACTAGACAACACCGTATGAGATATACGCCCAGGTTAAAAAAAGCCACAAAGTTGGCAAGTGGGTCAACAGATGAAACCTTGCACGACGAATGCAGAAACTGAGATTCCACAAAGAGACCGAGAGACAGACGCCAAGTAGACGCCAATGGTTACCTCATGCAAAAAGGAAGCGGGACAAGGATCAAGCATCAAAAGATATGCTACTGAGCCCAACTACCCCTTCTAATGGCAGCAGTGCCATGACAAGAGCTGGTAAGATCTTCATCAGCCATGTTGGGATGCTGTCTCGCCCACTCTTTGATATAAATGCGCAGCGCGCGCCAACGCATGCACGTTTCTTCAGTAATCTCAGAGTCCTTCAAGTTGCCGTCCTTTCCAAGGCGAATGTAACCACGAGATTTGGCGAGATGGTCATCTTGCCGTAACTCAGAGATAGGAATGTGTGAAATTTTGGAGAGCTCCGCGTCAAATGGACGGGCCATGGATGGATAGCCCAGCGATAGATAATTGTAAACCTGGGTAACAAAATCGTCGCCAAACTCCTCTTCGATCGACTGCTCGACAGCAAGCTTCTCATCAATGCCAGCAAAGTCCGATGGCGCGAATGTTGTGCCTGAGCTCGATGCTGGAGGAGTAGGCGGCAACAGACTCGCCGATGGTGTTGGGTAAGGTGAAATGGGATTTGGTATCTCTGTATTGGGTGTCAAGAGACCAGTTGGCCTGCGTGGGGACTTGTCTCCGCCGTTGACGCAGAACCCGCCCCACAAGCCATGGGTACTCGAAGCGCGGCTGTTGGCAGTAGACCACAAGGATGGTGTTGTGCTTGTTTGTCTTCCATTACCTTTGCCGCACCACAGGCTTTCGCCTTTTTCAGAGGCAGCTTTGGACTGCTCGGAGAGATAGCACATGGCTGTCCTGACCGCGTCACATCCTTGGGTAGGATCGAAACGGGATGGCTCAGGGGATTCGCAGCGTGGAAACTTGATGTCTTGCCCGAGCATGGGGGGGCGGGCTTCTCTTCGCTGGCGCTCCAATTCGGGGTCCTTGCGTTCCTTTGCAAATTTGCTAGCCGTAGCAGCGTCAAGAAAGCCTGCGGGATTGCCAAAAGGGCTGAAAGCAGGTTTCGCGTGTTCGGTAGGCTTGGACTTCTCTTTCTCGGCAATTTGCTCTGCTTGGTATTTCCGCATGGCTTCCAATTCCCAGTTTATGACAGTATATGGGGGCTCTGTCTTTGGCTCTGATTGGGGCTTTGCCTCTGTGATAGATGGCTCCGAACCCTCCGTGTCACGATCTACGTAGTGAGCCACAGGCTCGTGAATATCACTGTTAGGGAATGCTGCCAACGCTTGTTCTCGAAGTTGCTTCTCAGCAGCCTTGGCAGCCAGCTCAAGCAAGTATCCAGCAGAGGTACCGTCGGCACTCTCCCGCCGTCGGGTAGCCTCCTTGTACATGAAGGAGTGGTCAGGCCTATAGGGAGGTGATTCGGTGGGTGAAGGTGGGGTTGATGCTTCAGACTCTGAAGATTCAATGGGATCCAAGTCTGGCACACGGAATGAATGCTGCGAAGAGCTAAAGTACGATCGGCGCCTGCTTAGTGGTGAGGCATTGCGTTGAATCTCCAGAAACAAAGGGTTTTGTGACATGTCATATGTTGGAGTGTTCACTGGTGGGGTAGGTGGAATTCCTAGTATTCTTGCTTTTCGGGCACTGATGGCTGACTCTGGGGTCGCCTCCGTCTTTTCGTAATCAAACAGCACAGGCTCGTCGTCACCTGCTTTGCGGTGTCTCTGAGCAGTCTCAATCAGCTGGGGCCTGAATCTCTTGACAGGTAGCTTTCTCGATGCTGTGCCCAGGGGATTGGCTTTGAACTTGTCAGTGGGCGATGTTTGCTCTTCCCAATCACGGGCAAACTTTTGACGACTGCTTCTTGTGGAGGTTTCTAAAGGTTGGGGGACAAAGCGGCGGTTCGACCTGGTGGTAGTTCCCATGAGCTGGGGTGCGGATGTTCGCGGCACCTTGGAGCTTGTGGTTGTGGTCTCAATGGGCTCGGGTATAAATCTCCGGTTTACTTTGGAGCTTGTGGTTGTAGTCTCAAATGGCTCAGGCGCGAACCTACGCCGGGCTTTGGAACTTGAAGTAGTGGTCTCAATCGGCTGAGGCGCAAACCTTCGCGGCTTAGGCGCCTCGACAGGCTCCTGCCTGACTTTGTCCTTTGAAGATGAAACCGTCGTCTCAATCGGCTCGGGCTTGAAGCGCCTTGGAGGTGCTGCGGGGTCCATCTTGATTAGCGTTGTACACTCCCGACAAGTGGTCCGTTGTGATTTAGTCTTGTGCAAATCGTTTATGTCACTATTGGTGGACTGCCAATCGCAAGTGTGCCTCTGGTGCGGATGCGCACGCGAGCGGGGAAGTCGATCGGGACAATCCGGGGCATGCAGAGGTAGCAATTCCCAGGTGGTTGTGGTGTTGACGGGTGCAACAGGACGCAGGGTACCTCTTGGCCACAGAGGTGTATGCAGTGTATAATATTCTGCTCGGTGGGTGGGTAGAGTTCAAGAGTAGGCGTGTGGGCTTTGGGCAGCGGTCAGTCGCGTGGGCATGGAGGTTGTGGGCAATGCATATGCACTCGACTCACCAGACCGCGTATCTCTTTTCCCACACGGCCAGGGGCTTGTCGAAGGGCGGAAAGCGTGTGGACGGGGCTCTGGCGGGCAACATGTGAAATATCACAGTGTCGAGCGGGCGGTGGACGGGGTGCAGGATGACGTATGGCCGGCTGGGTCGCGGGTCGCAGGTCGCAGTGGCAGTCTAGGGGCGACCGCGCGGGGATTCGCGAATTTTGGGGAGACGGGAGGGAGGGAGGGATGGAGGGGTGGGGACGGTGTGGAGGGATATATGAGGCAGCGCAGTGTAGCGGTACGACGGCAGTGCTAGGGCCCTCGACGGTCAAGCAGGCGCGTCGAGTTGACAATGGTAGGTGATTCTTGTTGGGTCCAGAAGAGCGCTTCGATCAAGTCTCGACCGTTGCGCCTCCCCCTTCATGCCCGATACCGTGAAATTGTTCCATCAATGCACTGCGCCCACAGTGCCGCCGCTGATGCATCTGCACTCATGTCCAAAAAAAGCAATGCTCACCACCTGTCACTGATTCTCTGACGCTGCCCGGCAGCAAGCCACAGTGTGTGCTGCTGGTCGGCGCAGCAGTGCCGTCGAGTCAGCTCAGCGGTCAGCTCCCACACATATCCCACACCTCCAATTCGTCTAACAATCGACGGCACGACGACGGACAGCAGCCGTGTGGGTCGCTGGACCAGCTAGCCATTTCCATTTCCATTTCTATGTTGAGGCCGCCGCCATGGATCGGGATGGCGTCCGCTGACTGGGGGATCGACAAATGACATTTGGGTGCCATGCCCTCCCCTCGTCGATAACCTCGATGCTCTCTCCAAGAATGACGGCCGGGCCTGGCATGCGAGTATTACTTAGCACACGGAAACTACTATGCACACACCCGTGAGCCTCTGGCATGTACACGCGACCGTCCGCATGTGCAGCCAACATGACCGCCAAGCAATCGTCAAGATGCATCGACTCGAGCAGCGTGCTCTTGAGGCGCAACTTGCTCGCTTTGGGATCGGAAGAGGTCTCACCACGCAATAACGCACGGGTCCATGTTCCGTCGACGGTACACGCTGTCAGCCGCAAGAAAATGCCTCTGGACGCATCCGCGGCCGCCCAAGGGGTAAATGCATGTTTCGCCGCTGTCTATTTCCAGGCCAAGCCACGGTTGCACCATGCCAACAACGTTAGGCGACCGTCTACCCACTGCGGGTGCGGCAAATGTACTACGGGTGATCTCGGAGCAGCCCAGAGACCAATTTACACGTACACGACCATCATCAGCCCTCTGCCGGATGTGACATCTACAACCGGACATTCCTCCCATTGTGACTTGCCCACCGGTGACGTTGGCGCCTTTCCTTTTTATTAGCACAGCATGCAATTGCAATTGCAATACCTGCCTCCTCAGGACCTGACCTTCTTGCACACGACCTCACGTGCCCACTTTCCTTTCTACATGCATGCATGGGTGAACTTGGGTATCAATTTCAACTAAGAAATACAGGCAATATCAAACCTAGCTCCGGCCCAAACGTGCAGACGATGCGGCTAGCTAATTCCCGAAACAAGCAAAGTGCGCCCTCACTCCAATGCAACAACAAACTCGAATAACAAACGTCCTGGAACGTCAAATACTACCCGGCCACGAACTACTAACATGCTCAGAATCGAGGCGGTGAGACGTTTCTGTACGCAGGCGCATACTCTCTCACCAACTGCTCCATCAAGAATGACAACCGAATACGATCCGGAACGACTGGAAGCGATGCCGGATCCCCTCTACAATCCTCAACCTGCGGACTGAGCCGCAAGGGTGTTTGTAGGAAGTAGTACCTCATCGGCAAGGGAGACGGGACAGGTATGAGGCCTATCAATGGTATAGTATTTCCTGGGTTGGGCGACAAGCTACGAGCGGGAATGCTTGCACGAATTACTGGGCTGCGGTCCCCCGACGAAGTTGGCTCAACCACCATACTCGCAGACATATCGCCACTCTCCAGCGAAGACGAAAACTCGCCGCCCGTACCGTCCGAAGCGGATGCGCCAGAGTCCGGCATCGATTCCTCGGATCCGCTGAGATCTTCAGACTCTCCACCACTTTCATCCTGCGCCTCTGCATCTGAATACAGGTTTTCCTCCTCGCCGACGACCGTCTGGTCATCATCGGCCCCGCCACCCTCATCGTCGCTATCCTTCTTGCAGCCGAGTCCGCAGTCATAGTTGCAATTCCTGAACTGAGGCGGTCTTTTCGGAGAAAAGGTGCTTATGTTTGGCTGCATAGGCGAATCATTGCCATCATTGTGGTTGTACATTGTGAGGATGATTCCCAAGGGCGAAAGCCGGGGACTAAGGCTATGTCAGCGTCAGCATGAGTATTGGCCAGGATATTAAAGCAGCTATCGCCCACTGAGGCGTCGTCTAACCAAGGGGGCACGACCTACCTACAAGGCTATGGTAATAGCAACAAGGTCTATATGCAATGACGCTTACAAAAAGCCCCAAGACAAGACAGGACAGCAATGGTTTTCAAATGGTACAGGCTAATATTACAGACAAGACTTCCATTCAAGATTTCGACTCGCTGGAAGAGTAAACCCACGATCACAACCACAGCGCACCACCGCATCTTTAACTTCGCACCCATAAGCCCATTATCCTCCGCTAGCCGCTCAACCTCGACTCACACCCATCATACCCGCCACCACATAAAGTGACACGTCGACGATTTCCCCTCACCACCCAGCCTAAAGCCATGCACCGACATAGGGGAAGCGTCCTCTGGCACCCCAATCACTGGACGATCTCCACACCTCTGCGCCGCGTGAATCAGCAAACAGACGTCACGAAACAGGGCCAAAAAAAGACATCACACTGTCTCTCTTTCCCCTCTTTCATATACTTGATCATATCCTCAGCTCCGACACCGGTGCGGGCCACACAAATCGTGTCTAGCCTTCACTATCCTCCTGGACAAGGGGGAAGGGGGCTACATCATCACATGTAGGTAGCAGTACCCGAAGGTAACCGGCCAAGGCCCTCCGCATTTCAGCCCCCATCGTCCCCCTTTCCCCCCTTCTACCCATGGCTGTTTCTTTTTAGTCCCACTGCATTCCGCTCACCGGGGGCGCATCGCTTGGACGCCGTTTTCAGGCGAAGCGGGGTAAAAATCTCCGCCGGTGAAAGGGATGGGTTTAGAGGACTTGTGAGCCAATGACGTGGGGTGGACGGGGGTGGGATTGGCTGCCTCATTTTCTGGTCGCTACAGGACTATGGCGTTTATGACGGGTGTAGTTCAAGGTGAGTTGGAATAGGAATGAGCTGAATGTAGATGAGATGATGTTAAGGGTGGATGAGATGGCGTCATGTGATTTGTCGTCATAACTCCTGATCGTACGACCGTAGAAATCCAGTTATATGTATGAGTTTTGAACTTTTTTTCTCATTGGCTACTTGATTTTGATCTTGTTCAAACCTCGTATCTTCTTGTCCGTTATCCTTCTATCTCCTGCACAATGCATGGCATGCAATAACAATCGGTATCTTTCTCCCCCCCCCCCCCCGAAAAAACCCCTATGTTTAAAAACCCATTCCACCCTTCCTGTTCCCATTTACTTATTATGCCACAACAGCGTCCGTAGCGAATCCCAGTCGTCTGACTGCACGTAACTGTTCTCTCCGTTAGCAAAATGCGAAATTCCCCCCAAAACCCAGAGACAAGGAAAAGGAAAACCCACATATAACTCATACTACTCCTGAGACTACTCTGCACACTCTCAGGATGCCACCTAAAAATATACATGACCATGGCCCAACTCAGACTCGCAAAAGCCGGCCACCCATTCCGCACCAGCGCGCGCCTCATCTCCCCATTCCCAAATAACTCCCACCCTTTGACCCCCGCATGTTTGCCCCCTCCACTACCGACCTCTCGCGGCTGCACGGCCAGCTTGGCCAGCGCAAGACACACACGTGCAGCGACGTAGATGACGATTTGCTGCGAGACGGAATTGTGGATTGTGCGGCCGAAGACGGTGTACCCACCGAGGAGGCCCGCGAAGAAGGAATCGTATTGGCGCTCTTTGCCGTTGGGCGACGTGTTCCGCAGGAGGAGCATTGTGGTTTTGTAGACGAGGGCGAAGAGGCCGAGGTTGCGGGCGTGTTGGCGGGTTGCTTTGTAGACGAGGAGGCATTTTGAGCGGAAGCTATTTTGGAAAGGGTAAACGTTAGTTTTCGGTGGTTTTTGGGCATGTAGGTAGGAGGGAGGAGGAGGGTAGATGTCTGTTTACCTTCCTGATCTGAAGAGGAAGATCATTCTGTGGTGTGTTAGCTCTGGTCTTGTTTTCGTCTAATGAGAAGAAGGATACATACACGAGTGCGTGTGGAAACCGCACTTTACTTCCATACACGATACCGTTCCTCACGCCTTTCACCAGTGTAAGGACATCGTGGTATTTTGGATCCAGAGCAATCTTCTCGAGCGCAGCCTATTTGATTCGCATTCCTGTTAGTTATCGACCACGACAAAAGGTTCGCAGAAGGGAAGCTCGGAGCGGAGCGTATGCGCGAGTTTCGCAGCGACGGGCGACATACATGGAGAGCGTGTAGTTGGTCCATGGCGGCGGTAATGTGAGTATATGCCGTCTTCGACTGCACGTGTAGACAGTAGGGGTATAAAAGAGCGTTGTACGTTCGTCTGCGATTGCGACAAAACGCCGGCGAGAGATCGCCAGCTGACGATGCGAGCGAGCCTCGGTTCAGGGCGCGCGCCAGTTGCAATGACGTCGATTTGCGCCGTGCTATTTCGCAATTCGCAATGCTACAGCAAGACCTCGAAAAGGGGGATAGAAATACAGACAGTGATTATTGAAGAAGAAAGACGTGTATCATAGGGCTGGGACTGGGAGTGGGCTGGAGACTATGCTTGCACGGGTGTACCCTGAAGGTGAAGGGGTCACAATCGCGTTGCCATCTGCATCCTCGGCTCCAATCTCACATTGCCGCTGCCGGTCGGCCTGGTTTCCCCACGTTGGAGCATCGTTTTGCACTAGACCACGATCGGCATAGACCAGAGATCGCAGGATTCTGCTTTGGCATGTGAAGGCTCGTGCAGAGTGCAGTTGACATGTGCTTCTGCGCGTTGTCGTCACGTAGTAGAGCATAGTGAAATCGTGTTTAACGGCCAATACTATTCTAAACACCAAAAAAATAACAATAACTCTATAAGCTATGCATAAGACCATGATGGTATCTCTAAGATGGCGCCTCAAATCTATGCTTCTTTTTCTCACAAACGCCCTTCCAACCTCGTTCTCATGCTCCCATATGTACCGCGCAGCTGCCTTGGACGCTCAAAAAATGTTTATGCTGTACTACTCAGACCCCCGGCTGGGCCATCGTTTCTTCAGCTCCTCATACACAGTGAAGATGAAAGCAGAACTGGGGATCGATCTTGCGACCGTGATACCGCATCCGCGATACATACCCTTAATGCCGTGTTGTTTCCACAGCACCTTGCCCACTGCGGTGAAACTCGATTTTCCGCCCGTCAGGTGCTTGACGTCTGCTGTCTGCATTCGTGACTTGATCGTGTCGGCAGGATAGAACATAAAGTTGTATGCGCCGCCAGCAACAGAACCAGAAGCCATGCGCTGCCACACACGGAGATCCTCGTCTTTGGTCGATCCGTTGATTCCCTTGAAGATGATCTTCATGCCCTCATAGCCACCAAACCATGCCGCGCCGCCTCCTGTTTCTCGAATCAAGGTTCCCAGCTGACCGTGCCAATAGCCGGAAAGGCCTTGGTGGCGATAGATCGAGGCAATGACCCCTCGAATTGTTGGAGTAGCAACTATAGTGCCGGGACTTTCTACAGGAACTTGCATCTTACACTTGACAAGTTCAATGGGAGTCAGAAACAACGAAGTGATTGCCCCAGCGACCATGCCACACCAGAGCATGCCCAAGTACGGCAGGTCTCGTTCAGGATGCCTCTTCAACTCTGGGTATACACCTGAAGCTTTCAGAGCATCTCCCGCTATGCGATACTATCGGCCACGTCAGCGTGGAACATGGAGCCTCGAAGAAGTGCAACTCACGCTGAAGAATAGGGCGCTGTTTTCCACTGCAGCCCCAACCAGAGGCGCACTAATACCTCTATATATTCCCAGAAACCCGTCGTGCTGTAGTGACTTCTTGAAGCAGTCCAACGGCCCTGTGTACCGGAGCGGTATCGTATCTGGCTGAGACTGCAGACGGACCTTGACCGTGTCGAAGGGGTACTCGATGTACTTGCCAACGATTCCGGCCGTTGATCCGCACAGAATGTCCTTTAAGGCCTCTTCTCCGCTGCTAGTTACATGTGCTGCAGCAGGACGCTGTGCCTCTTCCATGAGAATTGTATTGGGCAGCCCGCCTCTTCCGGCCAACACCGCCACTGAGCTCTTGTGTGCTTCCATCAATCTTCAATATGTATGGTGTATTTGATTTTGTATAGGACGGTCAAAGTATGCTGGTGGGAAGCAGGGGCATGTTGGGTACCAAGAGTCGTGGGCGGTGAGAGGCGCGGAGATGAGTGTTATGAAGTTGTGCTCATGTCAAGGCTGACGTGGGACAGCAGCGTACTGAAATTGCAAGTGGAGCAAAGTCAGGAGTGAAGTGACACAAGGAGAGTTGGACGGGAAGAGGCAGCGGGCCGTGGGTGGTGTGCGACTATGGATGAATGCAATTACACGAGTCTGGCGCCCAACGTGATGCAATCAAGAAAGACTTTTCCCTAGCTCCAAAAAATCTTCAGGGCGTCGGGAGAGGGAATATATAGAAAGTATCAAGGGCACAGCGCCCCTTTGACCCGGACATGGCGCTGACACGGCTGCGGGCGCAACAAACAAAAAAATGACCATTGCACATTACTACTCGATGTGGCATGCGCGTTTTCTTTTTCTAATCTTATCAGATCTGATGGAAGCATCACCGCCTGTCGCTGCACAAGCCACCCCGCTTTCAGCCAGCCGTGCCAGTCTGACCCTGGACGCATTCCGCGCTATCGATATCGGCTAAACTTTTCTTGCGCTGCGACTGTCGACATCTTTGGCCCAGACGGAAAGACGCCGCTGAGGCTCAGGATTGCGCACTACCATCAACATGTCTGCATCCGTCACAGTAGAGGCGCCTCCCGCCACGGAGGCGGTGCCTGTCAAAGGCATGAAGAAGAATGGTATGCGCAACATTGGGAGCACTTGCGCCACACCACCATCTAACTACCTGCACAGGCAAACAATGGCACGACAACAAGGCTCCGTTCCGCCCACGGGCAAACCAGTCATCGTGGGAGAAGCGTCAGGCGGAGAGGAAGGCTCTTGCTGCAGTCAAGGCAAAGGAGAAGGAGCTCAAGGAGGAGAAGGAGGCAGAGAGACAGGTAGGCACTGCGATTACTCCACTACACGCCATCTGTGGCTGACAACGAAACAGCGACGAGTCGAGGCTATCAAGACGAAACGGGCGGCCAAGGAGGAACGCGAACGCTTTGCCAAGATGGAGGAGAAGATGCACAAGAGGCGCGTCGAGCGTCTGAAGAGGAAGGAGAAGCGCAACAAGATGCTCAAGTCATGAGCGTAGGCAATGAAAAATGTGTGGTGATACAGCACAATCCAACCAAAAAATGCCGCTTCAAAGGAGGTCAGAAAAACACAGGCTGGCAAGAGCAGCCGCCCTGTCGTTTCGATATGCAGGATGGACAGGACATTTTCAGTCTATGCTGAAAGGCAGTATGACATGAGCCTTGGTTTTTCGGAATGCAGGCGCAAAAAAGGATACCCTGGATTTCATAAAGTGGATAGCAACTACCAATCATTTCCCACCATTTCCCGTGTAAACCTAGCTGTGTAGTGACAGAGATTGTCATGGCGTGCAGTGCACTAATTTCCTCCATCTAAAGAAAGAAAAGGCGGAATCATAGCTGCAAGCTTGGCAGTAGAGCCAGGCGCCTGTCTGCTCTATCTCCATTCACATGTTTGTCCTTTGGGGGTTAGCGTAACGAACCCCTGCAATGATACGCGACGCTCGGATGGCAGGCTTGCAACTGCGCAACCGCGCAACCACATCGTCAACTGGCTTCCCAGCCCTCGCAACCTCCACCATGACATGGAGGGATCGCTGCACTTACATGCAGGCCTGGCCGACCCCACGGCATTCCGCCCCACTCTCCGGAGCTCCAGCGCAGAAACCCGAGTGACGTCGGATCCCGTCAAGAAGTCGCAATCGCAATCTCATTCGCACAAGCACAAGCACAAGCACAAGTCGTCGCGTCACCACCACGACAGTCACGATGGCCATCATCGTCATGGCTCGAGTCGGCGTCATGCGGCCAAGGAAGTCATGCAGTCGGCTATCCAGATACAACCGCCTGCTAGCTTTGGAGACCTGCTGAGGCAAGCGCGCGGAAGTAGGGACACCAGTCCCAGCCATAGTCACAGACAGAGCGTTGCCCCAAGACAAGCCGAAGGGAGTGCAAGTGGAAAGGAGGAAACTACACCGGGAATCACCATCCCCCCGAGGAGACCGCTCCGGCCCGCAGATATAGAGCTAGAGGCAAAAAGGGTCGAGGCTAGAGAACGGTAAGTTTGCGTCATTGGAAATACTCCATATTCTCATGGCATGTCTGGAAGGAAACTCCTTCTAACATGTCTCATAGTGAGCTCCGTGCCGCCCTTCAATCCCTCTCGGACCAGTCTCTCAAGATCTCGCGCCGCCTAGACGATACATATTACTCGGTCCTCGAGAAAGTATCTGTGCTGCAGCAGACAATTGGTACACTACACGAGCTGTCGGGCCTCACCAGGGAATTACACCAAAATTTCGAAGCAGATACTACAGAACTCGTAGAGGATGTGACTGGCCAAGTTGAAGCGTTCGACAACTTCGAGACACAGCAAGAGCAAGTCATCGGCCTCGAGGAGCGGATCAAAGCAGGAAAAGAAAAGGCGGATGCTCTGACTGCACGACTCGAACAGGCTAAAGAGCATGTTGACGCCAAAACCAAGTCAGAAGCAGAGTGGCAGGCAAAGAACACCAGTATGGATACCACGGGATTAATTTTATTCAGTCAAGCTAACAAATGTTCTTAGATTGTATACGTATCTTCTGGAGTACCGTTGGCATTATAGCCGCCGTCTTCTTTGCTTTTGTCCTCTTCCATGCCTCCCGACCAGTTCCTGATAATGTTGAACAACATAATACCAGATTGGATCCAGTATCTCGAGATACCATTTTGAATGCAGACATACTGGACATTGCAAAGGAAGCAATTATAGGGCCACCAACACTCGAACGTAAACCAGTCGTCGAACTGGATAATGCCAAGCGCATTCTCAAGGACGACGAGCCCCTCCGTGCATTCGACGAGCTATAATATTTCCTATGGTTTTAGATTTCAAAGATACCCTTTCTTTTCCAATAGATCAAGTTATTCATCTTATACCGAACTTTAAAACTTGCACATATTTCTTCTCCACAACCAACAGTCCTAGTCCTTAATGCCACTCTTTGTCACCAAGCAACATCATACCCATGCCCTTTCCGAACCCCACCCCCCTTAGAAACTCTTCCCATCCAGCAAATCCACCTTCACCCCCTCCAAATCCACATCCCGCAACATACGCACATTGATGCCCGTAATCCCCGGCATAAAATCCTCGTCTTTCGACCGCAACATACAGGATGACCCGCACGCCCCGCAGAAGTAATGACCAACTTTTTTCGTAGCAAAGGAATAGCACTATACCTTACATTAGCCTCTTCCTCCTCTTCTCTTCCCCCACAATCTCGACTTCTCCGGCCTCCTTTTTTTCCCCACGAGAGGTATGTGTATGGGTAGAAGAAGGGTGGATAAACATACCTTGAACTCCTCTAACCCCCCCTTTTCAAAAACAATCCGTTCGTTCGGCACATAAATGAACATATACCCGTTTTTCGCGCAGATGCTGCAGTTGCACTGCTTGATTACCGCGTCTGCGGCGTCGAGCGGTGGAGACGTAGTCACGGTGTAGGTGAAGGCGCCACAATGGCAGGATGCGGTGTAGGAAGCTGTTGGAGCGGAGGGGGAGGGAAGGGTAGGGAGGGACATGTTTGCTGCTTTGATTATATAGGTTTTGGTATGTAGAAGAGGAATTGAGTGGTTGTGATGAGAGTTTTTTTTACAGCTTTGGTCCTTCTATAGATATACTTATATATTCGTCTACAAGCAGCATTACTCGCTTTTCAGGCAATCACTCAAAAAGACAACCAACCAACCAACCAACCAACCGGTCCCCTACAACAACTAAATTCGGTGAGTCACACACAATCTGCAACCTGTGCATCGTGCAGATTCCCCCAGTCAGGAAATGGTGGGGTTATCTACTTACTCGTTCCTTGTGGCTTCGCTGCTCGCGAATCCATGGCGTGGAATGGCGCCACGGACATGGGGCGTAAAGGCTAGCTCCTCAGCTGACTTCGCGTGCGTATCGCGTCGCTATGGTAACAATACGTGAAGGAGTCATTCAGTTACACGTTTGCTCGGGCTCGGTGTCGAAATGAGCGCGCTGGTTTGTCATACGTACGGTGTTGAATCAAGGTTTGGCTAGGCTGCTGTGCTTTTTGTACCGTTCGTTTCGTCTACTAGCTGACTGCATTAAACTATGGCAAAAGCATATTGAGTTGGTCATGCAATCAGTGTAAGTTCTCTTTAAACGACAGCACCAAGCCTTGTATGACCCGATTTTAGTTTCAAATATCAGGAGCAAGTATAATTAGTTTGATATTGTGAAATATCTTGACTTCAAGCATCTAGCACTGTGGCAACTAGTTTACAAACTACAATTAACAGGGCCCGAACATCGGTTTGACCAAAAATTGTCCGTAAACATTATGCCCACAGTTGCGGTACCATCATGTAATAGGCAAGGAGTGATATCATACAAATCTTACCGATTATGTAGCAAAGGGCACTCAAGCACGGCACTATGTTCAATAAGATTGGCAAGGCAAGGCAAGGCAGAAACCTGCATACTTATCCTGGTCTGCTCCGTGCAAATGGGACAAGTGAATACGGGTCTTTCGTAAAACTGAACGGCGCATTCAATCGCCTTTGGATAGCTCAGCGCACGGTGCAACGACAAGCAACGACATACCTTGATACAGGGAGAGAATAAGACAGGACGACTTCACGAAACCTAAAGGTGATCAGCTTAGAAAGTGGGTGCAGATTATTTTTGTTACCATAAAGTAGTCCTATGAAAATGGCCCGGTGGCAGCTCAGAAGTCCTTATCCCTAGCGTACTTCAACGCCGCAATACTCCGATCTAACCCTACTGTGATATACATGATAAGCAACGTAAGCCCGAACCACAAGGACACTGACCCACGACTGCCTAAACCCATAAATTTATGCCAGATCGCTGGATGGAAAAGCAACGCGACCCCAGAATGGTGGCACTGGGGGGAAAACAATCAAAAAAGGAGGTACTGGGAGTCTTACGTTTAGATGAAAATGTCCAATTCGTGTCTCTTGACCTGGTCTTCCTCAAAAGCCGGGTATGCCGGAACCATGGCATCAGCATTCTGAACGTATGCGTCGTTGTAGATGCGCCAATACGGCTGTCGGACTTTGCGGGCTGGATGGAACAAACCGGCCCATACGTAATTCATGACAAGCGGAGTGCCGATTGCGTTGCGGACGCCCTCGATGGCTTCGATTATCCTGTCGATGACGTGAGGACTGGTCTCGAAAAGGTTGGGCCAGAGAAGGTTGAGCAAGTGAATCATGGCGTCTTCGCAGTCAAGGCCAACACAACCCAGAGCGACGTGTTTGACCACGGAAGCGGCAGTCTGGCGATGCACTTGGTCTCGGTCGATCAGAGCATCTTCCAGGAGTGGTGTGATGGCATAGACATAATCCTTGGCCATCTCGCCAATGTACTCAAACATGAAAGACAGTGACTTGAGTACACCGTTCTGTACGTTGAGCTCTGGTACACGGTATTCGTTCATCAGTGCGGGAAGGACAGTGAACGGCGCGCAAGTCTCAGCAACAATACCAATAGCGACAGCTGTGCAGACACGAGACTGACGCTCCTGGACTCGAAGGTTACCAAGAAGGGTGGCCAACACATCCTGAGGACCGATAGCCTTGGCAATGTAGCCAAATGTGTTGTTGGCAGCACGACGGATACCCTTCTTGTGCGCCTTGAGCATGTCCAGAAGTTCGAAGCAGATTCGCATCCATTCACGAGGGTTGACGTAGTTTGCACCTCGGTCGGCAATACGTCCTACAAGATCGATAGTGTTTTCCTGCACCTTTTCGTGTCGATTACGAAGAATGGGTGTAAGTCGAGGCAGGAGATCTTTAATGGGAGGCTGCATGGCATGGAGACCAACGACTGTGACAATAGCGCGAAGAGCGCCGAGGATCGAACCAAGAACCTCTGGGTATTCTTCACCAAGGTATTCGTAAAGAGCCTGTGCAAGCTTGATGAGCTGTGGATCCTCGTCACACTTCTGCATGACAAAAGTAATACGGGAGATAAGGTCTGCAGCTTGTTGGCGAACAGTGGCAGACTTGTTGTTGAGCCTAGCAAGAACTGTCGCAACAATCTGGGGAAGATATGTCTTCGTCCGCTCACCGAGTGCGTTGACAACAGTAGCGAAACCATCGATGACAATAGGGTCCTCAATGGTCTGATCCTGGAAAGCGACAAGCACACCGTCAATGAGCTGTTCCTCCAAGCGCTGATCGACGTCATGAGCGCCCAAAGTGCTAATAACTTTATCGATAGTTTCAACAGTCATCTTGCGATATGCTTCGTTCTCATCCTTCATGTTGTTCACAATGCGGCCTACAATCTCAGAAACACCAGCCTTTTGTGCCAGGTCCACCGTCGTGTCCACTACTTGGCGGTAGTTGCGCTTGTCGAGAGCCATACGTCGCACCCAGAAGTGCTTGAAGAATTCGGGCAAGACGTTATCCTTGAGGTATACTGGAGTGACACCGGCTGTGTTTGAGCACTGAGAAACGACCTTCAACACAACCTTTTTCATTTCCTCATCAGGCGATTGGAACTCGCGGATGACAATCTCCATAATCTGACTGGTGTAGTAGTTGGAGTATTCCTCGTCCATGAGCGGGATAACGTAACCCACAGCCTTCAAGAAAGACGCGAGGGCCTTGCCACGCTGGCGGCGGGCTCCAGTCCAGAGCGGGTTGAGAATCTCGTCGAAAGATTCGATACCATACGGGCTGGCAGCCTCGGCGAGTGCGGCAAGAGCTAGGGCTGTAACCATACGGACCTTAGGCTGCTCATCGTTCAGGTTCTCGCCAATGCAGTCGACAAGTCCCTTCAAATGAGGCAGAATAGCGCAGCCCATTAGAATAGGAATCTGCTGGATAATCTTCACACCAGTATGGCGGGCGTGCCACGACTTCTTGGATCGGCAAACGGCTCGAAGGAAGGGGAGGAGGGCGGGTATACCAAGAGCAGACGCGACAACGGCAAAGGCTCGAGCGGTGGTGTTTCGGACGTATTCGTCTTGGTGGTCAAGGTCAGGGCGCATCGTACTGATCATATGTGCAAGACCAGCAGCCTTTGCAAGGTTAGAGATAATCTCACGACCTTCGACACGTGCATAGTAGTCTTGGTCGATGAGGAGGGGTTCAATGACGACAAGAATCTTGTGTACGTATGGACGAACGAGATCGTCGAGCTTGTACAGGACACGGTCAATGACCTTTACAAGCAAATGTCGTTCTTGGTCTTCCAGTGTCCGTTCCATCAGAAGTGGCAGAATCTGATTGAACAGAGCTCCGGCACCAAACTGCCTAGCATTGTCTGTAAGTTGTCGAAGCGCGGTCTTTCGCATGGGTGGTGTTCCGTTCTTGACTTTTAGGAGCAGTCGCATGATTTTGCGCTCCTTCAACTCCTCCACTGTCATTTCGTTCTCGTCGGCACCGTCTGTGAGTTTTCCAAAGTATTTCATGTCCTCATTCTTGAAAAACTGCAAATCTCCAACACCCGGGATTTCTGTCGGCAGCTGCTTGCCCATGGCAGCCAAGCTATTGTCTACTTCTGGAATCAAGAAACCCTGATATCCGGTCGGGAGAGCCGGCATGCCTACTGGCCGACGTACTGGCTCATAACCTGGTGGTGGCTCGAGGACCTTGTAGCCTTCGGCTTCACCTGGGAGCATCATGTCGAGCTGCTCATCGGACAGCGGGGCGTTGCGGCTCGAGATATCAGTGCCAAAGGCAAAGGTTGGAGCAATTGGGTGTGCACCGTTCGCGGCGGGAGCAGGCGTTGCAGCAGCCGCAGGGGCTACAGCGGTGGTATCCCAACGTGATCGGGCTGGTGCAGCAGCTTCCTTTGTGTCTTCTGGTGCCGGCGACCATCGCGAGCGTTTCTTGGGCTCTGCCCCTTCTTCCTTGACTTCTTCCTTGGTGGCGGGAGTCTCGTCGTCTGCGACTTCATCCCATCGTCTGCGCTTGCGAGTCTTCTTCATCGGAGGGGTTTTGTCACCGTCGACTGTGGCGGATTCATCGTCTTTGAGTGTGGGTTTGTGATCGAGGACCTCGCTGCCTCCAGAATTTTCCTTGTCTTCAATCAGTTTCTTGACACGCGCCTCCTCGCGTTCCAACTCGCGCTGCTTCATGACGTCCTTGTATGATTGGCCGCCATCCTCTCCGTCCTTTGCAAAGGGGTCAGCACGTGTCGGGGAGAGTGCGCGGTCGAATCGTCTCCGTTGGTAGTCGGTTTCGCGTGATGCGATCTGGGCCTGCTTCTCGCGGCTGTCGAGGATATCGTCCTCACCCGCGTCGCCGTGCGCGAACTCGTTCATCATCTCCTTGGATGCCGTGTATTGTCCAACGAGGCTCCGGCCATTGAGCTGGACATCGTCCATGTCGTCGTCTTGGTCAGTGACGGCGATAGAGCTGACATAGTCGCCAGTGTTTCCACCATAGAGCTCCTTGTCAGAGGGCTCCATCAGCGACTGCTTGTTGTTTGACGTATCCCCATTAGTGGCGCCATTGGCCCTTGAGTTTCCTGCGCGCGGACCGGCCATATTTGCTGCAGGTTGCGTGACGGCTGGGGGTGATCGGGGGTGATTGAGGGGATGGCAACAGTAGGCCGCGAGCTTCTCTCAAGTTTCGGCGGCCTGTTTAGGATTAGCGTGGTAGCTTAGTCATCGTACCAGTCGGCTCAGTGGTGTGAAAGCATGCGACATCACGTGTTTGTTGCAGCCCAGACTTTGGCCAGAACATTAGCGCTTATGAAAAAGGTGCATGGGCTGCGAAAACAAGACAACTGCATTACCTCTTTCCAGCGCTCACTTCAGTACGTAAGGGCATACTACGCCTACATACACTACATGCATGCATGCAATGAGCGGGAGCAGGCGGTTCGCCCGGGCCTTGCGGCACAGCAAGGTAGGAGTAGACCTGCCTCTTTGTACTAAGTATGCCAATTGCATGGCACCCTAGCCCACCTCTTACAATCAATAGTGGTAGTATATTGGCAGCATAGCCACCTACCAGAGAATACGTCTTTTTTTTTTGCACCATCAGCCAGTGGAAGACCATCGGTTTCCGTGACGTGTTGGTGTGGAAAGCGTGGGTGGAAACGCTGGCTTACCATAGGTTGCACTGCGGACGGAAGAATTTGTGAGCGTGCGGAGCCGACGCGTTGCTTGCCCCAATGTCATGACAATCATTGACGTCTTAGACAAGCGTCTGAAGCGTGAGACGAGAGTCTTTTCTGGATATGCCTGGGAGGTTCCGAGCACCTTAGCGGCACCCGGCCCTATTCTCGCCTCTCATTTGTTGGGAGCCACCGATGATCTTCTCATCTTCTCAGCAATTCCGGAACGCTTTTCGAGAAGCCGGCGTGCTTTTTTGTGTGTTTGTTGTTTTGGCGCTCCCCAGCATCGTGGCCCACCTTGCAAGGGTCAAAGCCGAGCATTGGCACAGGGCTACGGGCAATGGTCGTCATGCAATTAGGTGGCTTGTTGATCGCCCTGGGACTCAAGACTGCCCCAGCCTCGTGAAAGACACTCAGCATGTGCACACCGCCAACACAGCCGCAGCTGCTTCGTCATCATCAGGATACCTCGTAAATGAACCATTGAGTGCATGCCGCTACCACCCTCGACTTCTGAGATTGGCATAAGCGTCGTACTCTAGTTTGCGCGCAGACGTTCAGCAGCGAAGCGTACAGAAGCAGACGACGGGTGCTAAAAATACGTCTCACGTTGCCACGCTAACCATGATCCGCCGAACTACATTGTGTGTGGGCCTTGCAATACGGGCCCTAGCAACGAATGACGGGGGGGCGCAGTGTCGTGCGACCCCGAGCTAACGGTGTGTTACGAAGCTGCCGGCTTTCTCAAGGGCTTGAAACGGATACGTCGGTTGTGTGCTACCCTGCCAGCCACGCAGTAAGTTCTGGCAGGCCGAGCCCGGGGATATTGGTTGAGTCGCCGCATGCTACTGATAACGACCGTCGCCGTCCCACATGGGTTGAGAGGTGGTTCCTGCCTCTCGCTTTATTGAGCTGCTCGTGCCCGCGTGCCCGCCCGACCTCTCTCATTATTCTTAATATTTCTTCCAGGCATCCCGCCCCTCGGCTAGAACAGCCTCCAGAAAAAATGGCGGCTGTGGCGCGCAACTATCCCCAGGATGATGTTCATCCACTGCTTAGGCATCCCCGGCCAATCAAGAGGGATCCTGCCAAAGCACATCGCATGCTCGACTTCATCGCAGGTTCAGAGGAAGCATTGAACAGCCTACAACGCGAAAAATCAGTAACCACACGATGGCTGGAACGGCCAATGTACGAGCAACAGCAGACTTCCCAGGTAGCAGAGCAATCAAGCCAGCCAACGGAAGAACCAGTACCAGAGGCGGTGCAAGTCCAGGAACCATCCAAACAAGAGCCGGCTCTACACGTTGTGGATGTTCCCCGAGAGACCCCGACCGATGACAGCGATTCTGATCTCCTGGACAAATGGACCAACCCGGACAGACCAACGTCGACTCTCAAGGCTGACACAAGTTTGAGAGTGCTACCAGACTTGGAGCCCATGTCAAAGCTTAATACGTGTTTTGTCAAACAACGACCACAACCACTCACACGGCCAGTGTCTTACAACTCGCAACATCTACTTACACCAGAGTGGACCGCTTCACCGACCACCTTTAGCCCCGAAACATCAGGCTCACGGTATATATCGTCAAGTCTCGACAGTATGGAAAAACCAAGGAGCAGCATCTCTTCCCGGGACAGTTACGAGTGCGAGCAAGTACACCCTGCGCTACGAAACCGTCAGCCTATGCAAGAAACAAAGGACACACAGACGGGGCGTCCCATCTCATACCATCCCCAGAGTTTTACTTCGCTTGACAGTCCACCACTGAAGCAACGCCCACGTCCGACCTCTTTTGCGAACTATCACCAGCGCGTTCGTTCCGGAACCAAGATTGCCTCCTCACGAGGTCTACGAAACAACAGCTATCCCGCAAATTCTTCAAGGCCGGTATCTGGCATTATCCCCAAGACAGTTGCCGGGGAGAATATTGAGAATGACACCAGTTATCAATGCTTCGGAGATGATGAAGTTGGCCCTCCTACGCCCATGAAGTCAACGACATCAACACTCCCATCACCATTAGCATTCTCAGCAACTCCCGCAATCCCAGTCCGCAGCCCCTTTGATTCCTTCGACAACCTCGAACAGAAGCCTAAAGAAGAGAAGCCAAAGCCAGAGAAGAAGAACAAAAACCGCTGGTCCACCATTCCCCAAGCCTTCAAGAACTTCGGCGCACGACGCCGCGACTCCACCGCCGCCCAACAAGAGCAACCCAAATTCGCCACCGTTGTCGACGACATCCGCAGAATGAAACTCACAGAGGAAAACCTACACACCTACGACTCAGAATCCACCCGCGCCTCCGTCCTCTCCAAACGCCAATCCGCCTTCGATCTCGCCCCCACACCCGCATACTCTCCCTTAAACGCTTCCACCACCCCAGCTTCTCCTCACCTCGTGCCTCTTCCCGCCCCCTTCGCCCCCTGGACCACAAACGCACCACCCAGTCCCGCAATGACGACCGCCGACCGCCGCCGCAGCAGCGCCGCTTCACTCTCCCCCAAGCAAAAACCACTCGGTCTCGCAGTCGACATCCCCCACCAAACCCGACCCTCATCCATGCACTCGTACTCTTCGCGTCCTCCCACCACCGCTACCACCTCTACTGCAGATGTACCCCGTATCGGCACCCCTGCTTCGCGCCGCAACACACCCGCCATCGAACGCACCTGCATCCTCTGTAAGACTGTAAAGTCGAATGCAGAGTTCGTGACTCGTCGTATCACGAAGAATTGCTGGCATGAACCTGCGACTTGTGTTGAGTGTCTGCAGGGCTGGGTCATGGAGTGTGCGAGAGGCGCAAGGGGGATTGAGGGGTGCACGTGTCCCGAGTGTGGGGAGGGCATGGCGGGAGAGGATGTTTTTGCTTTTACGGGGATTGCGACGCCATGAGTTTGGACATGGTTTATTCTTGTATTTATATCCTCTTTTTTATCATTCTTTTTCATTGCTTGAGGAGTTTAAGCATGGGAAGAGTTCTTCATTCTTTTTTTATTTCTTTTGTTTGGGGGGATGGAGCGGAATAACGATAATGAACTGGAAGGGTGGGAAGGCCATATTGCTTGTGTCTTTTTTTTCGAGGCATTCGTTCTTTTTTTTGTATTAATGTATAAAATTAGTAGTTTTGATGTTCTTTTTTTTAGGGGAGTCATAGGGTGATAATACTACTACTTGACGTATGGAAACAAATTACATAACATTCATGATCTTTCGTATTCCACGCCTCAAATCAGAAAAAATGATTTTGCGTCACTAATTTCCCAAGTGACGCTTTCTCCAAACATGATTTGCCATGGTTTAACCATAAAGAGTACCTAGTAGCGTGTTAGAATATACAAATAACAACTGAGGGGCAGAGACTACCCTAAGATGCTCGAGCCGTGTTGGTTCCGCGTCGATAGCGATTACTAGTAAGGCGGGATAATGGCCGGTGAGACGGCGGACGCAAGAGTCAATATGAGGCTTAAAATCAACTAACCTAATTGCTAGCACGCTTGCCCTCTGCGGAGTGTTCATCCCAACTCGGACAGCATGCCATGCCATTCAGACCTTTACTCTGGCACCTTAATTGTCTCATAACCACTTCTCGATCGAATGGATGGGCCGTAGAAGAAAAGGACCCACGGAATCGGAATACATGCAACAGAAATGAAACCCAATAGACTTGTAGCCCATTCTATCCCTAGACCTTTGTACATTTGTAAGGTAAACAACGGCAGAGCGGCGCCAAGGAGATACCGAACAAGAGCATTGGCCGCCATCGCACTGGCTCCGTAGAGAGCTTGATAAGTATCAAGCAGGTATGCAGTTGCAGAAATAAATATTGTCGAGTTTCCCCATGCAAAAGGAATTGAAGCGATCACAGGACTCCACCAAGAGATTGTTGGTTGAGCAGTCCAACCAAACCAAAACAACGCCATCGGTACACCGAAGCAAGCCGCCATTGCAGGATAAAGACGATATTCTGGGGCAACTATCCCACCCTTGCCGGAGATTTTGGACTCACGAACACGGGGTTGATAGAAATAATGATCACAAAGTAGGACCGTAGGTACGGCCAAAGCTCCACCAAGCCCGATGGCGAGGAAGACCAACCCCGAGGGAATCGTGCTGAAGTTGTAAACAGATCGAAAAATAAAAGGATAGGCCGCCATAAACGCAAAGACGACCGAGAAGTTGAACCCAGTGTAAAGGCTGAAGAAGCCGACGATTGGTTCAGAGAGTAGCATATGCAATGGACGAATGAGTGTTATGGTGAAGAATCGTCTTATTTTGGTTGATGTTGGTGGTCCAGAGGGAAGTGGAATGTTCTGCCGTCGCGCCCTCTTAGAGAGAATACTTGCTTTGTATGTTTCCTGAGAGAACGCAAGCACAATCATTGACAGGATCGCAAAGAATATTAAAGTCCATTGCGTCCAGCGCCAGGACATCTTGACGGTTACGAGGGAGCCTAACACAGGACTATTACAGATTGTGAGAAAGAAGTATGTAACCCGAAAAGAATGCGGACCTAGGTACTTACCCGAACGCCGGGCCCAGAAATGGTGTCATGATGTAGAGCGCCGATGGAGCCGCTCTTCTTTCAGGCACAGTTAGGTCACCAACACTTCCCGTACCAATAGCTAACGAAGGGCTAAAAGCCATTCCGGCGAAGAATCTCATAACGCATAACGTTTGTATGTTTTGCGAGAATCCAGCTCCCACGGTGAAAACTGCTGCCAGGGGCGTAGTGACTGCGTACACAATGTACCTTCCATATGTTTCGGAGAGCGGAGCAGCGATCAGAGGTCCAAACCCCAGTGCTAGAACATACAAAGACTGGGGTAAGAGTGCTACTGTAGAGCTCGTGTCGAACTTTTCCTGGACGATGGGATAGGAAGGTGTATAGATTGATGCCCCTAAGGTCCTATGAATGATGGATTAGTGTGAGGTCATTGACACAGTGATCATTGGAGTTTTTTTACGCTGTAAAGGAAATTATGGCTGGAGGAACAATATGGAAATATCGCTTCCAGTTTGGCCAATTAACTGGGTTATCTGGATCGTTTGGTCCGCTCCAGTCTAGAGGGTTTGTCATTGTTACGATCTCTGGATGAATTGGCTCAGTTGCAGGTGTGCCCCCGCGGACTTTCTCAGGAATCATGACTTCTACAATTGGCTTTGGGTGCCAAGGCAAATAAAGTTAAGAATGAAGCTTGCAATTGAGCAAAGGGTTGGCGTTCTCTGAATTATAGTTACATCGCGATTCGAGCCAGGTCCCTAATTGCCGAATAGTGTCCCCCAGTGCATGATAAGATTCCATATACCATTTCATCCGTGTACATCGGTCCTATTCCTCGCTATTTTCTCGGGGTTAGCAGGTGCAGCTTCCGTCCGTGCGTGTAAATCCCTCTTGTCGGTGCGGGCCGTATCTCATCAATGCGGGTAGGCGGTGGCGGGGGTGGGGGAAGAGCGTTAGTGTGCTGGGCTCTAAGTCGGGTAACTTGATATTTTGCCTGCACATACAGCTGATTGAAGCGTAAATGAGCCAAGCTCGAACGATGGGCGGGTCATTACATGCAACCGCTTCTTGGCATCGTCCGTTCGCAATCTTTGATCACTACCAGATCCGATGTACGCTACACCCATAATGTGATACTGTGCTACATGGCACAATTAATTTATATAAGCCACTAGCAAGAGGGCTGATTTAACCTAATCTTATTTTAGATAATAATACACGCTAGTTAATATTTAGTATAGCCGCCCTAAGCTTCTATTATAGCTTAGCACCTGTCGCCTATCTTTGTAACGGTTCGAGTACACACTGAACTAACATCCGAAAGGGATCCGAACATGGGCACGCACTAGCCGAGGGCAGATCTGCTGATATAAAACCCCACCTTCTCCATACCGTAGCTCGATAGATTTTTGATATCCTTTCGTACAAGGCCTATAGGTGTCTATTCGAATCAAGGCTCGTTTGATGTCCCACGCACTCCCATATGCCTCTGAGTGACGCTACTGCCGATACTGATCCGAGTAGTCTTGCCTGCGCCGTTACAATCTTAGCTACTAGATTTTCTAAATATTCTAGAACAATCTACTTCTAAGTCTCTATTTTAATAACGTGGAGCTAATTATATAATTATTACTACCTATTTATAAAATCTTTTTATTCTTTAGTAAGCTAATTCTTTATCTTATATAAAAATAAGCTTTAGCTTTATCTATATCTATCTATCTATAAGAGGTAAAATTCTCTTATAATAACTCTCTACGTTAACAAACCTTTACTTCTTTTTCTAGAATAGTGCGAGCTCTTTCTGTAATGAGCTGCGCCCGTAAGTGAAACACGTGATTGTATCACGTGTCCTCTTCACACCGCTCAGTCACGAAACCTTATTCGTACGAAAGAACCTAAGGCAGGAGCACAAAGTGAGATACGTCGTACGATAGCTTTACTTTCTTTCATCTTTCTTCTTTTGTACTATAGGTTAATGCAAACTGGTTCGAAGGCCTCTTCGCCCTTAACAGTATCTACATTAAAAAAAGACAAGTTACTTGTAGGCGTGGTTGAAAAGAAGGAAATCTGTGCTATTACTAATTAGGTAGAGATCCATCCGATATAACGCCGGATTGTGAGACTTTAGCGTCTCCATATACAAAACTTGTGCCATGTAGCATAGTATGTTCCGATCGGCTTTTCTAGTCCTCTTGGGGAAATGTCTGGGCCTACTTGGTATTCCGCCTTCTCCCTCCGACTGGCTAGAACGCATCATTTCCTGACGGTCGCTAAGCAGTATCACCGAGGTAGTGCCATACGATACAGTCGAGTTTACCACTCTTGTAGTTAGGCATAGTATTTTCTGCTATTGCTGTGGCCGTGAAAGTAGAGTAAAGGGAGTATCAGGGAATATAACGAAGAACTACTCTACATCTCATTATCTGAGTTCTAGCTACTAAATAATCCTAAAACATAGGTCTTAGGCTAATATTCCGCTTCCAAAAACTCCAACTGCTCAGTGTACAGAATACCCAACTCCGCGTAACAGAGACACGCAATCAGTCTATCAATCTAACCGAGGTCAGTCCCTATATTGCTAGTTTGCCATCAGAACCCCCTGACATGACCGGTACCATTTCGGCCCTGCTCTCATGATATAGCCTTCTTGGCAAAGCAATGCGCTTTGGCACCTATATACAGTTAGGAAAGTATTTAATACCCGAGAGCTATCCCGTTTTTGTTTAGCAGGACTTCGGATAGATTGAAAACTTAGTATTCTAGCTAAAAACATCTGATCTTACAGCTGACCAAGATTGTCCCCTCCTAAATCTTACTCTTCCTTTGGGGAGAACCTATTTGTATTAAGCAAAAATGAATAAGCCTGTAACGCCTCGAACTCGCCTATACTAACTTTAGAGGTTTGTAATAGAGGCCTAGAAGGCTATTACACCAGAAATACTAATGCGAAGCTATAACAGCTGCGGAAGGTGGCCATGGTTGATATTAAAATCAACTGAGTAACCTAATCAGGATCGGATCAGCTCCTTGGCTGCTGCCCCCACATTAAATACCTTGGTGCCTGTATGTACAGGGCTCATTCGGCAGATGGACTCGGAGTTCAATAAGACGCCCGGTAAGGCGTGCGTAATTTATGTATAAATCGGACTAGATCGCTTCATGACATCGCATGCAGAAACAGAAGCACCTTTCACTATGCTCACAGACATCTTCACTCGCGCGCTGAGTCAATACTTGCCTCTGGCTTTTGTGTTGTCTGTGTTCATTTACCTAGCCCGCAACTACTATAATCGAGAGTTGAACAAGTATCCAGGGCCGCTGGCGTGCGCTTTCACCGACTGGTACAGGTTTTTCAAGGCATGGCAAAGACGACCTGAACAGTGGCATATAGATTTGCATAGCAAGCATGGGGATATCGTTCGCCTTGGGCCAAACTGCTTGTCCTTTGCCAATCCGAAATCTGTCAAAGCTATATACGCTTTGGGTAAAGGCTTCACCAAGGTACAGTCATCTTGCTATTCTGTCTGATCTATCCTCTCATGCTAAATCCTGGCTAGTCAGACTTTTACCCCGTACAGATGGCAACCTCAAAGGAAGGAAAGAAGCTACCAACACTATTCAGCACCCAGTCGGAAGAATATCACTCCCAGTTGAAGCGCAGCGTTAATAGCGTCTTTTCCATGTCAGCCCAGATGCAGTATGAGCCTATCTTCGACTCTGTGAATGACGTGTTTCTCCATCAGACACAGGAACGATTTTCGAATACTGGTAAATATTGCGATTTCTACCAGTGGCTTCAATTCTATACTTTCGACGTTATTGGTGAACTAGTTTACTCCAAAAGGCATGGCTTTTTGGAGAGTAACTATGATATTGAGGGGATCGTCAAGGGAAACTCCGCCCTATTCGACTATGCTGCCGTGGTACGTTAGATATCATATTGCTTTTATGTACCGAACTAACAACAGCAAAAAGGTGGGACAGATTCCTGTTCTAGACAAGTTATGGAAAAAGAATCCAATCAAACTGCTTGCAGCTAGGTACGGACTGATCGACTCTTCGTATCCTGTCGCAAGCTTTGCGAGGGCCCGCCTGGCTGAACGACATCCTTCTGGGACGGTCTTCTCGAAAGAAAATCTTGCTTGGCAAAGAAACGATACGAATATGCCACAGGACTTCCTCTCCAAGTTCATCCAGGCCAAACATGACAGGCCGGACTTTTTCAACGATCAACTTGTAGTCACCATGTGCGTCTCTATGGCCTTTGCTGGATCCGAGCCTGCAGCCGTATCAATGAGTGGTGTTTTCGCCTCGCTTCTGAGAAACCCCAGATGCTTGGAAAAGGTTTATGAAGAACTTGATCACAAAGCATTGCAAGGTCACTTCAAAGACAATGCAACAGGAACAGTCACGTGGCAAGAGAGTCAGGAACTTCCCTACCTTGATGCCTGCATCAAAGAAGCATTTCGCCTCCACCCCGCCCCAGGATTGCCGTTCGAGAGAGTTGTTCCACCAGAGGGAGCGATGATCGACGGTCAGTTTATCAAAGGAGGAACAATTGTCGGGTGCAATGCATGGGTTATCCATCGCCGGACAGAGATTTTCGGAGATGACCTTGATGATTTCGTGCCAGAGCGCTGGCTTGTGGACCCATCCAAAGACCGAGAGGCAGAAATCGCTCGAATCAAAGAGATGGATTACTACATTATGAGTTTTGGTAAAGGGCCACGCGTGTGCCTTGGAAAACACATTGGCATGATGGAAGTTTACAAGCTCATTCCAGCAGTTCTTCGAAGATTCGAGGTGAGTAAAAACGTTTCCTGCGTTGTCCCACGCCAATGACTAATTTACCCCACTCAAGCTTGAATTGGAAGAAGGGTCTCGTGAAGTTCGTTTCCGCAACGGCTGGTTTGTTAGACCAGTAGAACTCAAGGTAAAGTTTACAGACCGGAAACTAGTTAAACCAGCATAAAGATCTATCTTTAATAGTCGAACACGACATGATGATCCCATGGCCAAATACCTCATCCGTCCCACTTTCGTACTTAGTAAGGAAATAGTTCGCCTTTCCCTTTATTTTTGATATAGCGGAACTCCTCCATCTCGCTAGAAAGTCACGATCATCGCAGGGCGTTAGTCACAGCGGGGCAACAAATTATTTGGGTAAACTGATTTTATCCTTAGCAACGTCTGTTGACCGTCAACGCCCCACCCACCCCAAAATCACTAAGGGCCTGTTGGGTTCAGCATTTTGCGTTTTACTAGCTAAATTTGGGCTGCTTTTCTAAAACACGGTTAAGAACGCTTTCATGTTCAGTGAAAGACGCGTTTGTAAAGCATTAACCTTTACTGCGTTTTGTTAGCGTAACGCTAATATACTTACTTTACCCTTACTCTTCATTCTATTTAAAAAAAAATGACAAAATGCGATTTTAAAACGCTCTTCTGTGAGCTCCAGCTGGATCTCGAGGCTGCGATTGGTGATGTGACTACCATGTCTGGTAGTTTTGGTGGACCAGCTACATCACTTGGTACCGAGTGATGAGCTACTTCACCAGCTGTCTATATCTGGATAAGTCCAGCCGCAATGCTAGCCAGGCCCCCTCTTGCCAAACCTCTATACACAAATTAGTATCAAAAACGTAACCGCAAAATGCGTAACCGAACAGGGCCCTACGGTGGCTTGTTACGTCTCGAACCTCACATGGTTGTTCGTCCGGTCCGTATTCTCCAAGCTGCAAGGATGGTCTCCACGCTCGTCGGGCAGAGTGGTCGCGAGTACAGCCTCCAAAAAGTGCTCCAACGGCACCCCAAGAAGCCCGAACTTAGCGTCTGTCTTGCGCTGTGAGTTTCCGAAACTCCGCACGCATCTATCGAAACTACGTGGAACTAACTAGCATTTTTCTTCTTCTAGTTATGGCAAGACGCCTTACGCCGTAAAGCCCGTTTCCGAATCCATCTTGGGGCATCTACAAAAGTTCAAAGCCGGGTTTAAAACCCATCCCCATCTTCGCAATCCTATTGACAAGATCGAAAAAAGAGACCATTCTTGTCTACGAATTCTTCAAAACCGATTTGCTCGCATTGGTAGAGAATTATCCTCCACTTCCGTTGACAGCGAGGAAGAGGATGTTGTTAGAGACCGGGAAAATACTTGCTGACATGCATGAGAGAAACTGAATCCACCTGGGTACAAAACTGCCTGCATGTCCCAGCTTCAACAAAAGCTTTTTTTGCTAATTTGAACTATAGATGTGAAACCAGAAGATATCTTCCTGAATTGGTACGTGGATTCGAGCGACGAATTTCACCTTGGGAAAATAGTCTTGGGCGATATGGACTGCGCGTTGAAATTAAAGGGCGACAAACTACTGAGCTACAAGATTGGAAACATCATATGGCGTAAGTCTGGAAGGACAGCTAGGAAGAGGCGCAGGAAAGCCTTCCAAAGTCTTCTCCTTTACTCTTTTGGTAAGTCTTCTGCTTGGTTAGACCTGCAAAAGCTTATTAATTGCCCGATCCAAGTGTCTCTACGTCATCACGGGCGGCGGGGGTGCAGTCATTGAACTTCGACTTCGCAGAGTTCGACTTGGAGCCTGAGGTGATAGTTTTTGTTCAAAATACTTATGACTTTTGGCCCGCTACCAGGTGCACTTGTACAGCATGTCGATGATGCGAAGACTGGCGAGATTCTGACTGGTTTATGGCAGGCAGTGAAGGAGAACGAGTTCCGTAACCTCACTGACGAAGCAAAGAGGTTGATCTTGAGGATGACCAATCTCGATCCAGCTAAGAGAGCAACGATGTCAGAGATTGTAAAGGACGATTATTGGGTCGAGGATGAAAATTCTTGAGGGATGGTTGGCGTGAGCTGCACGTACGGGGTCAATGACTAAACAAATGCACTCATGGAAGCGTATCATTTGTGAAATGTTATATATATTGGAAAAGTGATGACATGAAGAACCATAATGGCAAAGTATTCAAGGGAGAAGAGAAAAGGGGGCATCAGGCTGCAAAATGCAGCAAGGCAAGAACAAGTCTAGTAGCCTTTACTTGATGTTGGCAATGGCAGCGGTCCAGGCAGGGTCGCGTGTAGGGTCGGCGGGCGTCTCGACGCATTCGCTCAAGAACTTGTTCCAACCGTCCTTGGTCGCAGCAGCAAGGCCGGCGCGTACTTCAGCGCTGCACACTGTGCTGACAAACCAGGCTGCACTGCCGAAGCTCTTCTCATCGTCGCTGTTGACAAGTGCAAGCACGGCTACCAAACCGGCGTCACCTCCTGCAGCCTTGGCCTTTGCAACAGCATCTGCGCCAGCGACACTGGTGGCGTACTGCTCGACGTAGTTTGGCATAGCCATCACTAGAAAGATAGGTGGTTAGTACGTGTGTTGTTGGATTTGGCATAGTGGTGTTACTTACTCCTTGTTCCCTGGCCGGGGCGACCGGGGAAGTGGTTCTTTTTGTACTTGAAATCGCCGCTCTCGAATAGTTCATAGGCAATGATTGCGGCCTGTTCTCCTTTTGAGGTGATCTTGTAGGTCTTGAATGCCTTGCTCAATGCAGCGGCGGCCTTTGAGGCATCTGCACACTCGTCCGGGAAGTCTGCACCTGCGCAGGATTCGGTCTTGGGTGCGATGGCGATCAGCGTGGCCGCAGTCAGGGCTGCAGGTCCGGCAGCTGGGGCGCGATCCGGGCAGTCAGGCAGGGGTGCGGCAAGGGCGCCAAGGGCGAAAGCGCCCGCACAGAAAAGGTTCTTCTTGAAGCCCATGTTGTTGATGATGGTGGTGTTGAAAATAAATTCTTGGTGGTCGTAGTGGAAACCGGGTATGAATAAATAGGCAACGGTAGAGAGTGTGCGGTTGAATGTTCTGTTATGTAGAAAAAAAAAGAATGGAATACAATGTTTCTTAACAGAATAGACGTGAATGGTCTGTTCTTCTGCCCCGCAGAAAATGAATGGCTAAATAAAGAATCAAGGATGGACAATGAGGCAGTGTGATGAGGAAGCAAACGCCCAAGATATAGGGCGGTGCACACTGTGGCCTCGTTCTTTCAGGCGTCCTACTCCATGTGCCCTTCAGGAGTTGTGTAAGCGTAGCCACCGATCAACGAGCCGCCACCGCCAATCATTTCCCTCAGGCGCGATGAAGACGCACGTGACTAGGCGTTGTGGGCTGGTGATTGGATGAGTGCAGCTCAGCTGGTGGTCGTGTTTCGAAACGTGAAACAGACGGCGACAAGCCCTTTGCCAATGCCATTCAACAACCGTCAAAATCGACTCTAGCACCACTACAAGTAAAATTGCAAGGCCATTGTGCAACATAGGGCATCCTGTTCAGGTCCAGGGCACAATGCATGGCTGGCTGGCAGCGGGGCATAATTGCAGCGTGCTGACCAGCCCTTGATGTTGTCTCAGGCGGCCTGATCTGGCTGGACGCGGGCGCACGTGCTACTGAGCCACCTGCAAGCCACTAACCTGACGCCCTGCGCCTTGCGCGCCTTCTCTCTTTTGGAGCGCCAAGTCCATGCGCGACAGCTGCGTGGTTACTAATGTGTTAAGCCTCGCTCACCTGTCTAGAGCTGTGTCGGCGTCGGTATCTTTGGTCAGCGGCCCGCGGCTCACCGAAGCTTAGTATTACTCCTGCCCTAACTAACTAGCCAGCTCTTACTTATGTCGGCAGCTGCCTGTTGTGCATAGTTCGTGACATCATTAAGCCGTGCCGCGGCTTACCCCACCAAATGCTCTCCAATGTCTTGCCTCTCATGACCGTCCAGCGCCCGCAATTGACACCCTCACACTTTGGAGCTTCTTCTTCTTCTCACCAGCTCAACACCCTCAAAGCACCGCCAAGATGCCCGTAGAAACCAAATTCGACCCCAAGGACATGCAGTTCAGGCGCCTGGGCCCTGCCGGCCTCAAGGTGTCTGTCCTGTCCCTTGGCGGTTGGCTGACGTATGGAGGAACCCAGAAGGGCTCCATCGTCAAGGACTGCATGGAGGAAGCCTGGAACCACGGAATCAACTTCTTCGACACTGCCGAGGTCTATGCAGCTGGAGAGTGTGAAATTGAAATGGGCAAGGCCTTCAAGGAGCTGCAATGGCCGCGTGACGAGTATGTCTTGTCAACAAAGGTAGCGCCATCTGCAACCCCATTCCATGGTTCAGACTGACATGTCTGATTGACAGATATTTTTTGGAACACGGAGGCAGGAGCCCAACACCAGGCAGGTGGACCCCATCCCGTGTTGCTTCTTGGCTAACCAGTGTGTAGGGGTCTGTCTAAGAAGCACATTGTCGAGGGGTTGAAGAGCTCTCTGAAGCGACTTGACCACTCCTACGTCGACATTGTCTTTGCTCATCGCTTCGACCCCGAGTATGCAACGACACGCCTTTTTCGTCACGTGCGTTTGCTAATGTGCTTCTTCTAGTGTACCGATGAAGGAGATAGTCGAGGCTTTCACTCAGACGATCAACATGAACTTGGCCTACTACTGGGGCACTTCTGAGTGGTCTGCAGAGCAGATTCAAGAGGCGTGCGACATAGCAGAGAAGTATCACCTCATTGCACCAGTCGTCGAGCAGCCCCAGTACAACGCCTTCCATCGTGAAAGGTTCGAGAAGGAGTACGCTCCGTTGTACAAGAAGTACCAATACGGTACCACCATCTGGAGCCCTCTGGCAAGTGGCATGCTTACGGGCAAGTACAATGACGGTATCCCCGAGGACAGCCGCTTCGCAACCAACTCCGACTTCTTCAAGAAGACGATTGAGGAACTCAAGAGTGAAGAGGGACAGGCCAAGATCAAGAAGGTCAAGGAGCTCACCAAGATTGCGGAGAGGCTTGGAGGCACGACGACGCAACTGGCGCTTGCCTGGGCTGCAAGCAACCCCAACGTTAGCACCGTCATTCTTGGAGCATCGAAGCCCGAACAGATCAAAGACAACTGTGGCGCCATGAAGCTGCTGCCCAAGTTGACTCCGGACGTCTTGGAGGAGATTGAGAAGATCCTTGCCAACAAGCCGTAGGTAGTAAAATGATACTAGCCTAGTCTCAGAGTCATGTTCTCGTGCTTGATGAAGTGTCATAGTCAATATCAGGTCAGGCCAAGACCGAATAGATAGAAATATGCACGTAACCTTGCCACCTCTCACACACACTCACACAAATAGCAAAGTTACCATGAAGACGGACCCGAGGCAGAGAGTTGAGTGCTGCATCCACAGCAGGCAAGTAGCATGTCCCAAGTGTTTCAGGGGTGTCTATAGCGGCCAAGACTAGTTGCTCTTGTATGACGGCTACTCTGACAAGCGAACCCATGGTCACGGCCTTTGGTGGGTAGTGTAGGGTAGGGTAGATGTGTTTGGGACGTGATGGTTTCCTTGGTGCCGTGCCGCGGGGATGCATGTGGCCATGGCCATGACCATGGCAGGGCGCCACCTGGACACAGAGGGCGAGGACGGGTTAGCTCGAGCCCCTATGCATGCAATGTACACTACATGGAGGGCAGCGCCGTACCTGGACAGTGACGATGCACTAGACATCAGTCGAGACGGGGCGGGTGGCTCACGACCATGCCCGCGGGGGCATGGGCTGATGGCTCGGCCAGACGCTGCTGTCGGCTTGTCGCCGTGCATTGGCCGCTTCGTCTTCCAAATCCATGGGCGGGCCTGTGCCCTCGCGCCGATCAGCTTGGGTGGGTAGCGCATTGCTGGTGCGGGCGAATTGGTACTAAACTACCGTCGACATCGCACCGCAAGTGTAAGAGTTGTTCTCAGCCGTCGTCGCCCAGAGATCCCCCGTCCTCTGCTGTGCTACACCAGCTTCTCCGCGCCTGCGACGCCAAGAGCACGTCGCACGTCTCAATTGCCTCAGTCGCTACTCGCCCACGCCCACGCCCACAACCGCTCCACCTCGTGGCTAGAGTACAGTCCGCCGCGCCCTCCATCGTCGGCTGTGCGCCTCAGCAGCATCCGGAAGCCAGCGGGAAGCCTTGGGCGCGTGTGCCCAAATACCAGACAGCAGCGCCTTGGGTGCGAGCCTGACCTTTGTGGACGCCGTCTGCCGTCGCAAGCAGTATCTGACGACTGTGTGTATGTTTTGGATGTGCACAGGGATTGCGTGTGGGCTGACAGACGTCGACAACTAGTGTGCCTCTACTCTCCACACCACCCACGCTCCTCCGCCAAAAGCGTCAAGCAGCCTTCGGACCGCTCGCAGACAGATACTCTTGGATTCGCCGTTGCCAAACTGCACCTGGTGCTGATCCATGCAGCACACATAGCATGGCCGCCACCATCAAGACCGACCCCTCGGTCGGTGACTCGAGTCATCCAAACGGGAGTGGTAAGTTTGCCTTTTTTTTCCCCTCCCTTCTGCCTTCATCTGGTGCGGCGCGCTTTAATAAGACCCTCCTCTTTGACGTTGGTTGTGTTTTGTCTCCGCTTCGCGTCTCCTGTATCCTGTTCTTGGCATGTGGACCCTCGGCCTCGTGATTGGCCGCCTATGCTTCGATTCCCTTTCCATCTATACTACACACCTTAAGCGGGAGCTGCAGAGACAGATTGAGTCTCGGTCAAGCCCACCATTCCCACGTCGGCATAAGCGTCCAGTCGAGCCTCACGGCTGTCCTATGTGCCGGCCATTGACAACGATGCATGAACGGCAAGCCACTCGACGAACTTTTACCTGCCTCAGTTGGATACGAGGCTTCGAGGACGCTACATATACATGGCCATACTACGCTTCCCTTCCCCGCATCCCAGCTCGGTACACATACGCATACAGAACGCCTACAGAACGCTTGTCCTTGTTTTTATTTCCTTCATCAACTTTTAATCTATAGACGCAATGTCGCATCAGCGCTTTATGTCCTGGCCTAATGCACACATGCTAACCATGGCGCCCACCTACCCTCCTGCCGGCGCTGCAACCGACTATCCTTCTCCTGCTGCCTCCCGTCGACCTTCTGAATGTTTGTCAGAGATGAGCATGGGAAGCATGGGAGGCAGTAGGAGAGGTAGCTTGGCTGCTTTCGCGCCGGACGTGGAGAGTACAGGGCAATGGCAATCCATAGGCAGTGAATCAAAGAGTCCTCTAGCCCAGTTTGGCTTCTTCAAGAGCTTAACCGACAAGAAGACAACCCGAGGTCCGTCCATGTCTGTCTGGTTCCACTCATAATTGCTAATTAAACAAGATGGACAACCACCAAAGAGAAGGGGTCCCAAGCCCGACAGCAAGCCTGCCTTGACACGGAGACAAGAGCTAAATCGTCAGGCGCAAAGGTAATCTCGGCAAAGCCATGCGCAACCTCAATTACATGCTGACTTGTTTGCAAGAACACATCGTGAGAGAAAAGAGCTGTATATCAAGGCTCTCGAACAGGAGGTCATTCGTCTCAAAGACACATTTGCCGCTACTTCGCGTGAACGTGACGCCTATGCTGAGGAGAACAGACGGCTCCGAGAGCTGCTCATGGCGCATGGCATCACCTTTGACCTTTCGGGTCGGCCCTCCAACGGCATGGCCCAAGTTGGGAGCTCCACTTACGGAAGTTCGACAGGCAGCGTGTCAGGCTATGGACCAGGCTCAGCCTCTACTGGCTATACCTCACCACCAACACGCGGTTCGGCATCTCACGATGGCATGAGCGGTCAGCCCTTGACTCTGCAGCATCAAGCCCAGCAGCAGCACCATCACCAGCCTCAAGGACTGGACTATGACCAGATTGGCATAGACTTCGTTTTAACGTACGACCGAACGCCCTATCTTTCTCCTCCACCCCAGCAGTAATGCGTTTACGTCTTTTCTGCCTTATTTCTTTCAACTCTCGTACGTTTCTCTTTGATCTTGACAAGATATGCTCTGACAAGTCGTTTCGGACAGGCTCGAGCGACCTTGTATGGACCACATGCAGTTCCTGATGGTACGCGCCCATGATGCCGATGAGAACATCAGCGGCCACGCGCTCATGGCCACGGCACCTCCTGATGCGCACATCACAAACTGTCCCGAGGAGAAGTATCCTCACCAGATGCCCGACGTCAACATGCCGGATCTGATGAAGCTCCTGGATTTGAGCAATCGTCTACCCCTTGACGGGGAGATTACGCCCATCATGGTTTGGGCAAAGATCCTCCAGCACGACAGACTGCGGGATCTATCCAAAGAGGACTTCGAGCTCATCAAGGGAGAGCTCCTCGCCAAAGTCCGCTGCTACGGGTAAGTTACGAGTACCGAGTATCTGCTAGTCCCTACTAATGCTTGGTAGATTTGGTGCCGTCCTCGAGGAGTTTGAACTCAGAGATGCGCTCACGACTGTCCTTGCTGGCAAATTCTCAAATGGGTCTCCACCTATCGGATAATGTCTATTCACGAGAAACAAGAAGCAGTATTTATATGTTTTCGGGTAATAAGTAATGATGTTGAAGTGGAGATTAGCAATGCAAGCCATGTTTTCGCAAAACAAATGATGTAGTTTGAACGGTGACGCGTCGGAGACTTTCTTGTGCATGTGGCGGGCTATTTTTGAGTCAGGGTCCAAGCCAGACCCCGCGCCAACGAGGGGCTCGCGCTCGACACCTCGACCCTCGAGCATACCTTACTCGTGAAACACACAATTGCTGCCACTTGTTCCATGCTTGCATAAAGCTGCGTAGTGCTATTTAATCTCCCCTCGTTACGTTCTCTGCCTTCCACATAACCGCATTCTGTACATTAGAGCTGTCCATACTGCATCAACCCCAGCAGAGCTCCAGCCATGACCGAACTCAGCGTTTACGACAATGACCCAACCATATACCTCTTCACATCCCTGACCGCCGGGTCTTCGCACATCATCACTGCTACCTCGCGAATCGAGACAATTCTCAGAGCGAACAAGATCCCATTTAAAGGGGTAGATACAGCTACTGACGAGCTAGCCAAGAAGCTGTTCCAGCGGAGAGCAAGTGGAAAGAAGTTGCCCCTGATAGTTAAGGAGGGATATGTGCTAGGTGTAGGTACAATAGACACAATGTAGCCAGTACATAAAGATTAACATTGACATAGGGCATCACTGAGATTGAAGAATGGAACGAATACGACGAGATCAGAGAGGCACTGGGGGTGACCTCAGCCTTCACCCCCTTTCCCGCCAAACCAGGGCCGCCGCCCATGACAGCCTCCGCCAGCACCGCCGCGCCCACATCGCTCAAGAGCGCAGCTGCAAAGGAAGATGCTACCCCGACCCTAAGCCCAGAGACGAATCTTGCGCTTCGAGAGTTGGGTGCTGAGGCAGCAAAGAAGGCAGCTTCATTGAAGCCCACTCCTGGCAATATCAAGACTACAAATCCGTTGCTGGCCGAGAAGACGAATACTCCGACTTCTGCTACGATGCTCAAGAGTCCATTAAAGGAAGAATTGAAGAGTGTTCTTTCGCCCCGGTCCGTCCCCCTACCTGATACGCCAAAGGTTGCGACACCGGCTACACCCAGCGTCGTGGCGGATGCAAAGGAGGATGCAAAGGAGGATACAAAGGAAGATGCAGAGGAAGACGCAAAGGAAGATGTAAAGGAGGAGGCCGAGGCAGAATCGGAGGCGGAAGTGAAGGCCGAGGCAAAAGTTGAGGCAAAAGCTGAGGCGGCAATCGAAGAAGAGACTGAACCAAAGACTGAGGCCAAGGCTGAACCAAAGACTGGGGCAAAAGCCGCGCCAAAGACTGGAGCAAAAACTGTAGCAAAGGCAGGATCAAAGACCGAAGCAAAGACCGAGGCAAAGAAGGGTGTGAAGGCGGTAGTCAAGCCCGCTGCGAGCAAAGATGTCAAGGCCAAGGACACCAAGGCGAAAGATACAAAAGCAAAGGACGTCAAGTCAAAGGATGTCAAACCAAAGGATACCAAGACAAGCACTACAGGCTCTAAAATACCAAAAGCATCATCATCTTCGACGACGACGACGACAACAACAACACGGAAACCTACAACTGGTCTCTTTGGCATCCCAAAGACTGCGCCAAAGTCCAAGCCCAAAGCTGCATCTGCATCTACAAGCAAAACTGCAACCTCTGCATCAACCAGCAGGGCTGCGACCTCGGCATCTGCTAGCAAAGCTGCAGTCAGATCCAAGGACGCAAAGCCAAAGGATGCAAAGACATCGAAAGCAACTGCCGCGAAGAGCATTCCCAAAATATCCGATGTACAGAAACCGGTCCAAACACCTCCTTCCATGCATGATGACGCCAAGAACCCCGCGCTGAGTGCTGGCCCGGTAAGCACTATGCAGAAGGAAGCTAGTAAAGAGGAGGAGGACAAGGAGGGCAGTGACGAAGAAGACGACGACTCTGAAGAAGAAAGCTCTGAGGAGGAAGACGATGAGGCAGACAAATCTGCTGGCACAGGCGCAGCCACAAAGGACGGGGCTGCTCCTGTTGCCGCCTTAACCAAGGAAAGCAGTTCCGAGGAGGAAGACGACAGCGACGAGGAAGAAGCAGAGGGCGAAGCCGCAAAGGGAAAAGCAGCAGTACCAGCAAAGAAGGAGGAAGAAGAAGAAGAAGAAGAAGAAGAAGAAGAAGAAGAAGAAGAAGAGGATGACGACGAAGAAGATAGTGACGATGACGAGGAGGAAAGCAGCGAAGAAGAAGAAGACGAAAAGGAACCCAAGACCCAGGAGCAACCCGCTAAAGCACAGGACAAAGCCGGTGTCAGTGTAAAAGACTAGACTTAGGCGCTGTGTGCTTAAACTCTTGTACCAAAATCCAGAACTACAAGTTTAAATATCGTGAGGTGTGTTGGTACTTACTTGTATATAGCCTTCTTTAGGCTTAGAAGCGCGAGTGTGGAAGACGGGTATATTGACAACAACAAAGTCTTTTTTTTCTTTTTTTTTCTCTTTCTCACTTCGTTTTTCTGTATCTATCTAGCTCTCCTTTAACTACTACCACTACCTCCGTTTTTGTTTTTTTGTTTATCGTTGGAAAATTTTCTGTATGTATTTAATCCAGCTTTTTTTTTCCCCCTCCACTTCTTCCCCAATCGTGGCAGTAGATAGCAAACTTGAGACTGGATTAGAATAACAGGAAATATGAAATAAAGTGTTGAATTAAAAACGCTCCGACTGGGGAATCTACATTATTCTATCTTTTTTTTCTCTCTTCTGGCAGATGCAAAAGTATTGAAAAACGCCTGCCTACGCTCGCTCGATGCTCTTTTTTGCTCGTTGGTATAACTTTAACGTACGTACAGAGAAAAAAAAAGATGGATGTGAAATATCGCGCGAAACATATTTAAGCTAGATTTTTGTCGAGACAACGGTATTTGGTAAGCTTCGACATAAGATGTATGTATGTAAAAAAACAAAATTGCAGGTCGTTCGTTTGTCTGGTAAACCCCATGATCTAAAAGCTCAGCGGTGTGGGAATCGAGAACGATACAAAGAACAAAAAACAAGAAAATTAGAAGACTACCCGCCTTACGCCGCGACATCCAGCCCCGCACTCTTGAGTCCAGAGAGAAACTGCTCTTTGATATCCGCAGTGGCACCACCAGCAGCAGTGTTCTTCTTCTTCTTCTTCTCATCAGGCGGCGACTGCAACTGCTGCATCATCATCATCTCGACAGCCGCCATACCCGCTTCTTCAGCTTTACTCAGCGCCGCCCCGGCGGCCGGCTCATCCTTCTTCTTCCCCTTGGCTTTTGGCGCGCTCTCTTCCTCGCCCTGAACCATCTTATCTAGCTCCAACTTACTAATGCCCAGGGCATAAATCTGCTCTTCGACCGTTCCCTTGGTGACTAGTCTCACAACTTCGACCTCCCTCGTCTGACCAACACGGTGAGCCCGGTTCTCAGCTTGAATATCGTCTTGGGGGTTGAAGCTCGAGTCAAAGATGATGACTTTGTTTGCGCAGGCAAGATTGATGCCTGCGCCGCCGCTCTTGGTGCTGATCATGAAGAGCTGGATGGATTCATCTTGGTAGAAGATGTCCATGAGGGATTGACGTTCTTGAATCGGGGTGGAACCGTCCATGCGCATGAAGTTGATATCGTGGTCGTCGAATACCCAGCCGAGTATGTCCATGACGGAGGTGAATTGGCTGAAGACTAGGGCCCGGTCGCCGTTTTCTTTGTACTTTTTCAGCAGAGCGAGGAGCGCAGTAACTTTGCCCGAGTCCATCCATTCCTGATCTTGGAGCTCGAATTTCTTGAGCGCTCGATACTTGGTGGCGAGTTGGTGGCATTGGTAGTCTTGGTAGAGCTCGAGCTCTTCGTATATAATGTCTGGGTTGCTCTCAGCAAACATGTCTTCTTTGAGACATGCCTTGGACATTTTCCGGATGGTGTTGTTGTCGTAGCGGTGACGGAACAGTAGGGAGTGAATAGCTGCTTGGCGGAGCTTCATCATCACGTTGGCATGATCTTTGACAGCGATGCCCGCAGCTCTGTCCTCGAGGATCTTACGCTGCTTCGCTAACTGCTCGTTGTATAGAGTCCTTTGTGTATCTGTGAGCTCACAGTATTCGACGCGAGAAGTCTTCTTCGGCAGGTGTTTGAGCACCTGAGCCTTCTTCCTCCTTAGAATAAAGGGCATCAACATGGTGCGAGCACGCTGGATACGCTGAGCAGACAACAAAGAGCTGTGCGAATCGCTCTCCATGGTCTTGGCCTTGTGTTTGAACAAGATTTGTAACATCTCTTGGACTTCTTCCTGCTGATCGCCGTAGAACACCTGCGGCATCAAGAACCCAAGAATCGACATGAGTTCTTGGAGACTGTTCTGCAGTGGTGTGCCAGTCAATAGAATCCTGCATTTGGTAGGAATCTTCATCAAGCTCTTGTATCGAATCGTGTTGGCGTTCTTCAACATATGTCCCTCGTCAAAGATGCAGATTTCAGGTCTGCACTTTTTCAGAAAGATGAGATCTTCCTTCCTGAATGTGAGATCGTACGTTGTGATAATTACATCGCACGTTCCCTGTCTGATGTTCTGGTGAATACTCTCTTGGTGCGAGAAACGTTCAGCTTGAGATCCATAGTATGGAGTGAAGTTGATGGAGCTTGAAAAGCGCTCAAACTCACGACACCAGTTCTCCAGAGTCGATCCAGGTACAACAATGAGTGCAGGCTTTCCGCTACCCTCTTCTTTCAGATGCGACAAGAAAGCAATGATTTGGCAGGTTTTTCCTAAACCCATGTCGTCGGCCAGAATGCCAGAGGTCTCAGTTTGCCAGAGAAGATTAAGCCAGTTAAGACCGACGACCTGGTAGTCCTTAAGCTCAATGTCGTCATTCATGATTGAGGGCTGTTTGAGCAGCTTTGTACGGCTGGCTGCTTTGCGTATGCTCTTGGATTCGGTATCGCTGCTATTGCTGCTCTTTGGTGTATGATAGCCGGAATCCCGTGCTGAGTTGGTATCACTATCATCTAGACTCGTAACATCCATTCCTTCCTCAGTAGACGCGCCGAAGATGTCGATTCCCCATCGTGCCATGCCTGCAACCATTGGTTTTCCAAGGGCTTCACATTGTTTGACCACCGAGTCAATGGTCGAGTAGGCGTTCCACATGCCTTCGGTAGATTCTACGAGCCTTGCGCCTGTTGTAATACGCGGCTTGCGAGCCTTCTTCTTGCCTTTCTCGGCCGGTGCAAGGTCTACGTGAATTTTTCGAACAGCATCAAGCGAGGCGAACGGGCGTTCCTTGAATATCTCTTTGATGTCTTCTTCCTTGTGACTCGACAAGTCAACCATGGCCTCCACAGTGCAAGTGTTGAAGAAGTTCAACAAGGCATCGTCGCTGAAGTTGTTCTCTGGAGCTGCGCTTGCCTCTGAGTCGTCATCATTCACAAGCTCTGCATCGATACCCTCATCCTCATCTGAAGAGACCATAATTGGCGCTTGCTTCTTTGGATTTTGTTGCGGTCGTGGTGGAGTGGGTTCTGGTGAGGACGAAAACGCCATCTTCGGCTTGCGATCTCTTCCGCTAACAAGTCTGCCTTTCCGTTTTGGTGCCTCCTTCTCGGGACTGTCAATCACTACAGGACTGTTCTGGGTCGCTCCCAACTTTGAATATTTGTTCTGTAATGATTGCACAGGCTGCTTCAAACCACGCTGTGCGGTCTTCTTTACAGTCGGCATTGACTTGGTTTGGGCCACTCCAAGCTGTGGAGACCGAAGCAACTCGTCTTCAGACTCCTCTTCTGCTAAGTACGAACATGCATCTGAAAATTCGCCCTTCTTCTTAAGTAGTGCTTCGTGTAGCTGCTTCACTGATCGATTAGGATATATAGCCTGCAACCGCTTTATGTTGCGCTGCATGGTAAAGTCGGTTATATCCTCCAAGGTCATGTTTGAGTCTTCAGTCAAATCTACAGGCAGAGCACGAGAAGGTCCTCCTTGCCGCGGGAGGGGCTTTTGTCTCTTCGGTGGCGAACTCGAGGCAGGCCCTTCAGACGGTCGTTTTCGCGACTGGTCACCATTGTATTTGAATCCGGAGAGATCCCAAGTTGGTTTTTGCGGTGTCTCCTCAATTCTCGACGCCATGGAGGCCATCTCGATTTTTGACAGCGGTATATTAGACCTGTACTCGGACTCGTCTTCGTCTGGATCGCGTTCGACAGGGGGATCGTCCGATGTTAAATCGACGATTGGCTTACGGACGGCTTGCGGAGGGAAAAAACTTGTACCAGGAGGTGCCATTGGGTTGCTGTAGCCTCCATACGGCCGTTGCGACTGGGTTGGCGACATGACGGGCGATGAGTATCGCTGAATAGTGGGAGACGAGCGGGGGACTTGCAACTGCGAGGAGGCTGTGTGTTGGATTCGGTTTGCGCGCGGTGTGAGGATTTGTGTGGGCTGCGTGGGTTGCGTGGTATCGGAAGGCGCTGGGAAGAAGGGCGAGTGTTCAGCGAGAATTTGCGTAGGCTGAGTGACGTAAGGATCTTGTTGATCGTCGTCGTCGCTATGCGAAGTAGCGCGTGATCCGACAGGAGGAGGTGATGAAGAGACTATAGGGTCGCGACGGTACATTGTGTGACAGTGCTGCAGTACCGAGTCGGGTTGAAGGGGGCCAAAGCACTGTCGTCGACTTGGCCGCCTCGCGTGTAGTTACGGAAGAAGACGACGGGTTGGCGACTAGGGTTCAACAGGACAAAATTAAGACAAAGGATAATGCACTATAAACCGGCCGACATGGCGCTGTAAGTACGCGTGTGCTATGCAGAAGAGCAAGGAGGGAAAAGAGGATAATTAAAAACCAGTGGCGGCGATCGCCAGAAACATGACTACGCGTGAAGAAAGCACTCAACGCGTTGGGGAGAATCTGGGCGCTTGGACCTCCAGTGTGCCCATTACGTTACTGCTTTTGGCTGTGCCAGGGCCAGTCGCTTGCATACTTACATACATAATTGACACCACACAACGCTACTTACATACACCACCAACATGACGACCAGAAGAAATGTCGGCGAAGGCAAGTCCTCCCTTGAGTACGATGGGAAGAGTGCACCAGGACCATCAAACATTTCACCGGCGGTGCCAACGTGAGTTGTCTTGGATGCTGTGCACGTTACACTGGCTCATGCCGACAGGTCCGTTATTTGGAAATTGATGAGTTTCACTTTTGCCATGATCACTTTGCCCATTGGCACCTACTTCTTTACCGTCAACTTCGTCTTTCAGGGTAAGCACTTGGACATGCGTCCAAAGGGGTTGCTGACTCTGTCCAGGCAACGCAACATACGCCGGTGGTCTTGCAGCACTCATGGCGAATGTTGTATTGATTGCATACATCGTTATGGCGTTTAGGGACGACCAAGAGGAAATGCGGGAAGAGGCAGAGAAGTCGAAGAAGACAATGTAGCATCTTGTTGTTTGCTTTGAGCAATAGGGAGGCGCTAAGCGGCAAACCATCAACGTCGAGTTTTCTGCGCCGAGTTTCGTTTTGGACTTTCAACATCTTTGTTTGCAATTCCATGTTTAGTTCCAATCTTGGGCAATTGATCTCAAGAGGAGTAACCTGTTAGTTCCAAAGAAAATAAAAGTCTTGGCGCGTAGTGCAGCTGTCTCAAATCGTAGCTATTTGATATGAGATTCGATGGCCAAACAGAGCTCCTGGAGATGATCGTAAACGCTCTCTAATTGCTGTGACATATCTTGATGTAGGCTGCAGTATTCTAGAGTACACATGTAGTTGGTGCCAGACAGGCCGAGTGGCCAGTGGCAGGCCTGTGTGCTAGCGCGGGGTACGGGCTTTCGCTTTTCCTTAGCGGCGTAATCTTGGCAGCCCACCTCGAGCAATTTCGTGTGCAGCGGCCACCAAGTGTGAGTGACAGCAGAACCACGACTCGACAACATGGCTCCAGCATCCCTTCTGGACCTCGTGTCCGCGCTCCCCGATACCCAAGCATGGGGTCCCACAGTATCCAACGAGACGATGCTCGATGGCGTGCCCTTTGCGCCCTACTCCAAAGCCGACAAACTGGGTCGCATGGCCGACTGGACTGAGGGCAAAGACCGTGAGCGCGGAGGACGCCAGCAGTATGGCAACCGCAACTACCGGGGTACGTTGGTATTTGGGCCGAGAAAGAGGATTACGAGAGGCTAATCAAGTTCCACAGACCAGCAAGTGTACGGTGCAAACCAACAGACCAACCCCTTCGCCATCCAGGCTGCCGAGGAGGAGGCGACCTTCTCCGTTGTCGACAACACACGAACATCGGCCCGAGGACGAGGCTTCGGACGTGGCGGCGGCACTGTTTTCCGTGGACGGGGTGGTGCGCGTGGCGGACAAGCGCAACGGGGAGGACGGGGCACCTTCCAGCGTGTTGGCGGCCGTGGCGGACAGCAGTATGACAACCGCGGTGGCCGTGGTGGAAGAGGAGGACGCCGCTTCGGCTGGAGGGACGACAAACCCCAGCGTAACCGCGATGCCTCTGTGCAGGTCAAGCCCGAGTGGAGCGTCATGGAGGAGATTGACTTCTCTCGCCTCAGCAAGCTCAATCTCGACACCCACGAGGGCGAGGACATTGACAAATACGGCTTCCTCTACTACTACGATCGCAGTTACGACAAGCAGCCCGGTGCTAAGACTTCCGAACGCAGACTCAACGTCCTCGACCGTGCCGCCTACAATGTCACTACTTCCAGTGACCCTGTTCTGCAGGAGCTTGCCGATAAAGACGAGGCTACTGTCTTTGCTACCGACAACATTCTTTCAATGCTCATGTGCGCTACCAAGTCTGTCTACTCATGGGATTTGGTCTTCACCAAGAGGGACAACAAAGTCTTCATTGATAAGCGCGATGGATCAAGTCTGGACATGGTCACTGTCAACGAGAACGCTGCAGATGCGCCGCTCGAGATTTCCGAGGGCAACAAGGACTCGATCAACAGCCCAGGCGCTTTGATGCTCGAAGCCACACACATCAATAACGTCTTCCCCCTCCAGGTCGTTACCGAATCAGAGACTAACAAGGTCAACATGCCCCACGAGCACCCCTTCTACAACGAGGAGGTCGAGACCGACCCGCCAGCGTCCAAGGCATACAGGTACCGCCGATTCGACCTGTCCCTGGACAAGGATGAGGAGCCGCTGCACCTGATTGTCCGAACCGAGCTTGACGCTGTTGTCAAGAACAACATCAACGGCGAGGACCAATATCTGACCATCAAGGCGCTCAACGAATTCGACAACAAGGCTCAAGGAGCCGGCGGAGCTTTGGATTGGAGGACCAAGCTTGCAAGCCAGAGAGGTGCTGTCCTTGCTACTGAAATGAAGAACAACTCTTGCAAGCTTGCTCGATGGACTGTGCAGAGTATCCTCGCCAAGGCTGACACTATGAAGCTCGGGTATGTTTAACAATTGTTCCTGCCGAGAAATTGCTAACATAAGTCTAGATTCGTATCTCGAGCCAACCCCAAGAACAACAATGATCACGTCATCCTCGGTGTGCTCACTAACAAGCCCCGCGACTTCGCCGCCCAGATGGCGCTCAACCTCAACAACGGATGGGCTATCGTCCGTACCATTGTCGACATGGTCCTTCGCATGGACGATGGCAAGTACGTTCTTGTCAAGGACCCCAACAAGTCTCTTCTCCGCTTGTACTCTGTCCCTCTCAACACCTTCGACGAGGAGGAAATCGAGGAGCTGCAGGCGCCGACTGAAGATAACGATGAGTAGAGTTGTGTCGAGCAAGTGGACAATGTTTCTTTTCTTTCCAGCGATATCCGTAGGGTTGGGTCTATGACTACATGCATGATGGACGATATGTCATTGAATGACAGTACTCAACGCGCGTTGTCTTTATGGTACGAGAAAGTACATGCGTTTTTTTCAATGTGAGACAAATTGTCACCTAATTGGTCAAGCGTTGTTGTCTTGAGAATTACGATTCGATAGATGGGGGCGTGCACAGGCCATGGCTGCCAAGCTACCCCAGTCCTCACGCCTGCACCTCCTTTCACTTGCATTTTCGATGTAAACTACACGTTCTGGATTATCCATCGCGTGTGCCACATGGATTGAGTAGCAACAATATTATCATGGCTATACGACTGTATCAACTACATCCGGTCGACCTCAGCCATGATTGATGAACTGTTGGTTCACATCTCTGCCCCAACTACGCGACAAAGCGACCAACTCTACCAGTCTTTGGCCGATGCCTATCTTACATTTGAGGCAGATGTATCTCATCGGGGAAGTTCTCGACAGGTTGATCTTGTAAATCAATCTGCCCCGTCTAGGCTGAATGATGTTACAGCTCCAGATCAAGGGAGTTCATTCCGAGGCACCGCGGACACTTCTAACTTATCTATGAGCAAAGATTCTTACGGCAGCTTCCCATCACATTTATCTGTGGATGAACTCAAGAATCATGAAAATGCTACTGTTCGGTCTGATGATCATGCAGTCAAAGATGATTCACCGCTCATGTTCGGTCGACTTGCTCAATCAGAGCATGCATACCGCGATGGGAAATACCGAAGAAGCCTCAGGTCGAGCTCCACCAAGGGAAATCTGCTAGTGCAAGAGGTTCCAGGTACTCCAGCCGATGTCGACCTGGGCTTTGTTGAGAACACGCAACTGGCTACTGAAGTTCTTCACAGTCAACTACAGGAGAGTTATCTGAAGAACTATGACGACACACCTGCAAGTGATACGGATGAAGAACGGACTCAAGATAGTACCATCGAAGCGTTAGTCACAGCAACACCTGATACGAAGAGAGACTTTCCAGAACGTCGACGAAGTATGCGCTTGAAAGCGGCGAGTAGCGTAGCAGAGACACCTATGCCTACTCCGAAGCTGTCTGCAAACCCCGATGCTATTGCAACATCCCAGAGGCCTGTCAGTCCAGACGATGCTTTAATCCCATCATCACCGGCATCATGGCATACAACATGCGAGGAAAAAGGCCCTGAAGACAGCAGTCAAGTCGCGCCACCTATAGATTTCTCCAGACTTCAAATCGACGTCTATCCACCAGAACCCAAGATATCAACAGCACGACCGGGTACTCTGCCTTCTCAAATCACTCCACAACTAGCAGCGCTCAAGCAGCAAAATCCGAAGCGTTTCAAGCCAATCAGGATAGTGAAGAAGCCGAAACCCGATGATCGTGGGTACTGGTTAATCAGCTGTTCGCACTGGAGCGCACAGCTTCAGCAGGCATTTTGGAACAATATCTGTGAGCAAGTCACAAGTGGAAAACTCGGCTGGGGCGTGATGCTCTACCGAGAAGGTCGCACCTCTCGCTCATTGGGCCAAGTCAAGTTGTACTGCTGGGGAGAGATTGTAGAGCATACATGGTTGGTCTTGTGGCTTTGCTCTAAGGGGAAAGTATCTGGTTCGGGACTGGAATGGATTGACGCTGATGGAGATGCGGTGTTCTTAATGTCCTGATTACTTGCATAAATAGTGGTGAGGGTGCTAGGGTATTAGATAGGTTGGACAGCGACCAATTTAGTGAAGGACCCATCACATGCATGCGCTCATGTCGCGCAGGCAATTAAAGTCGCTCTGCAGCTAAATAATTGCCCCCCGCATTGCTCATTGCTGCCTCCAATGATCATCATGTGCACCGGGCTAGCTGTCATTGCATTTGGACATGATTAATTGTCCATGCATGGTCATGATTGGTATTTCCACAAGTGAAACACGGACGCCAAGCAACAGGTCCAGGGTCGCTGACACGCCCTACACTTTTGGACACGATTCTGTTGCGCAATCTTGGCCTCGAGCATAGCCATGTAATATTGCCCTTGAAGAGACAATCATGGCTACACGGTCGCAAGACGACTTGCACAGGACTGCAAGCTCAGATGCGGGTACCGACGAACGCACGCTTTACGACCACAGCTCCGACGAAGGCTACGATGGCAGGCCATCGGGTGAGCTATCCCAGAACGACCACGATATACTAGACTCGGAAGATGAGCGCGAAAAGCTCCTCACACAAAACCAGGGGAAGAAAGGCTTCTTGGGCCGCAAAGGCTCAGGTGTCAAGGTTGGGAAATGGGTCAAGGAGAAGGCGAAAGCGCGCAGGAAAGGCAGCAAGGAGGAGTCCAGCGCCCTCATGTATGACATGGAGGAGGGCACCGGGGCCTCGAGCACCAGCTTCATACCGAGAAATTCAGAGAGCGACGAACGACGGTTGCTTGCGAATGAATCGCAGCGAAGGGTAAGTTGGGTGAACACCTCTGTATGCACCCTGAAAACTAATAATGGTGTAGGCACGGAGAAAGGGCATATACCGTCGGATATGCATATACATAGCCATAGTTGTTCTTTTCGTCGTCCTCCTCGCAACTGCATACAACCTATCTACCCCGCAAGATGTCAAAGACGCTGCCGCCCTGGTATCGAATGGTACTTCGCTATTTGCGCCTACCACAATCCTCATATCTCTCGATGGCTTTCGCGCCGATTTTCTGTACCGCAACCTTACGCCCACACTCAATCAGTTTGTACGAGAGGGCATATCGCCCAAGTACATGCTACCTAGCTTCCCCAGTGTGACCTTTCCAAACCATTATACGCTCGCGACTGGCCTGTATCCTGAAGCGCATGGGATTGTATCCAACACATTCTGGGACCCAGAGCTCAAGGAGGAGTTCTACTACACACATCCTGCGCAAAGCCTGCAGTCGCACTGGTGGGGAGGTGAGCCCCTATGGGTGACGGCAGAGAAACAGAATGCCCGGGCAGCAGTACATATGTGGCCAGGTTCCGAGGCCCACATTCAGGATCAGAAAATTGCATATGTTGACAAATACAACGGTTCGGAAATTCTATCCAGGAAAGTAGATCGTATCATGGGTTTACTTGATCTACCCGGTCCCAAGGATATCGGTGCGACTGCACTTACACCTCGACCCCAGCTCATTGCTGCGTACGTTCCCGACGTAGATGGTGATGGTCACACATATGGTCCCAACAGTACGGAGATCCGGGAAACCATCACACGAGTTGATACCATGATGGGAGACGTTTTCAAAGGCCTCCAGGAGCGAAACCTCACAAACATTGTCAACGTGGTAGTGGTGTCTGACCACGGCATGGCAACAACCGATGCCACTCGTCTTATTCAACTTGAAGACCTTGTTGACCCTGCAGAGCTCTCGCACACTGATGGCTGGCCTCTCTACGGTCTCCGGCCCAAAGACCCTTCTGCTGTCCATCGCATATACAATCAAATCAAAAACCGTACTGCCGAAAATCCCAATATCGAGGTTTATCTCCGCGATGAGAACATGCCAGAACGATACCATTTTAGCAAGAACAAACGCATAGCTCCGCTCTGGCTAGTACCCAAGACGGGCTGGGCAATCGTTACGAAAGACCATTGGGACGTTGAAGAAGGCCTAAAGAATCACGAGGTCTATCATCCTCGGGGTCTACACGGCTACGACCACGAGCACCCGCTTATGCGCGCCATTTTCATAGCTAGAGGCCCAGCATTCCCGCATGAACCGGGTAGCCAGATGGAACCATTCCGTAAGTACCAGTATCCATCGAACGTGGGACTTGTAAGCAAAGAAACACATCCGCTAACAACACCCAACAGAAAACATCGAACTCTACAACATAATCTGCGACTCGATCAAACTCCAGCCCGCCCCCAACAACGGCACTCTGCGTCTCCCCCTCAAACCAATCGGTCTGCACAACGACAACAACGATTCCACAAACACATCTGAAAACGAAACCCCTGAAGACCCCGTAACCTCCTACACCCTAACCCCCTCATCCACCCCTTCTTCCTCTTCCTTACACCTCCTCCCCTCCACGAACCTCGCCGCCATGCCCTCCTCCTCCCTCCTCGACCCCCTCTCCAGCATCACCTCTTCCGCATCCGGTCTCGACACGGGAGCTACACTGGAAAACGAAGCTCCGCCTACACGACCTACGCCTCCTAGTACTCCTACTGGGGGTTCAGCGGATAAAGGAAAAGGGGACGAGGGTAAAGAAGGGGATGAGGGAGGGGACAAGGAGAAGGGAGAGGAGAGTTGGTGGGAGTGGTTGACGCATAAGGCGGATGGGATTGAGGAGTGGGTTGATCAGTTTATTCAGGATCATGTTAAGGGGGGGAATGATGGTGAGAAGGATGGGAAGGGGGAGTAGATTGGGGTTGTTTTTTCTCTCTTCTTGCCCCGCTTTTTTGCTTTCCTTGAATAGGAAAGGGGTTTTGGTTAGACACGGCGTTTTTCTCTTGGAGCAAAGGATGGATATCATACAATTGGTTTGTTTATTTTTTTGTCTTTCTCTTTTGGTAGCTTCTTTTTTTTCGATTTTGTTACTTCATGTATACCCAATTACATACAGGTAGAATTTGGAAACTGATTAGGGACTTTTTTTTTTGCCAATAAACACAAGACTGTCTGTCATATGGAATAAGGCGATTCATTGTATCGTAAAAGGTATCATTCATTTCGTTTATATAAATTAAGAAGGTAGGTTTGACAGAAGATCTACATGATATCGCACTTTGAGGGCAGTCCGCAAGGACCCTCCTTGTCCTTTTCGGTCTTTTGCTGAGGTTGTGATGAAGTTGCAGCAGCAGGAGCAGCAGTAGCAGCAGGAGTGCTAGAAGCCTTGTCCGCTGGCGCAGGTGTAGTGCCATTACTCGTAGCGGTCGTAGTTTCTACCGCCTTCTTTTCGCCTGCAGTACCATCATCTAGTCACTGGTGAGCCTTGGCAACGGCCTCGTAGAAGGCCTTGCCTTGGGCAGCGGCAACCCTCAGCTCGAGCTCAGAGGGCTGGCGGGAGCCGTCACCGCCGGCAAAGGTACCAGCGCCCCAGGCGGAGCCACCGTGAACCTCGTTCAGATTGGCAAGGTCGGCTGAGAAAATGTTAGCTTTTTTTCGCGCCATCAAGTAAGAATATGTCTGTCAAACTTACCGAATGTGGTCTTGTAGCCCAATGGCACGTAGATGAAGCCGTGGTGGGCGAGGGTGCTCATGGCAGCCAAGCAGGTGCTCTCCTGGCCACCACCCTGAGTACCGGTGGAGACGAAGAGACCAGCGTACTTGCCCCAGAAGCTTCCTTGCTGCCATTGCTTGCCAGTCCTGTCCCAGAAAGCCTTGAACTGGGCGGGGAAGTTTCCGTAACGGGTAGGGATACCGAAGAGGATACCGTCGAACTCCTCGAGGACAGAGGGGTCCTCAAGGACGGGGACATCGGCAGCCTTGGGGCCGGCGTACATCTTCTCGAGGACTTCCTGGGGAAGGGTCTCGGCGACCCTGTGTTATTGTTAGACCATGTTGTACTCGGAGTAGAGCGTGGGAAGGTTGCAATTGAGGGGGTGCTAGGATATGGAATGTTGTGGAATATCGGAAGATACATACTGGAAGAGCTTGGCGTCACCACCAGCCTCCTGGATACCCTTCAGCTCAGCATCGGCCTGGAATTGCAGTTAGTGATGTTGTTCTCTTTCTCGGTACCACCAGGGTGCTCCACGGCAGCTTGCATGCCGCGACAGTGTCAACATACCAGCTTCTTGATGTGGCCGTACATGGAGTAGTAGACAATTGCAATCTTGGGCGCCATCTTGAATAGCTAGGGGTATCAAACAGTGTAGAGAGAAGTAATAGAGCGGAAGAATTGGGATAAAGCTGCAGATGAAGCTCAAGGAGAGGGGCAAGCCTTGCATCTTATAGCTGTTAGCCCAGACAGCATGCGCCAGCACGCAAAACATGGCAGCATACCCGCTAACCCTCATATCCGATCCCCATCTCTCCCTACATGACATGATGCAAGCTGGATGTGCCCACGCCGGTCCAATCGTCGCACCTGTACCCCCGTCCACAGAGCCAAACTTTGCCGTTATCAGACCAGCCGATTCCACAGAGCATTGCAAACGCGCAGCGACGCCCCTCCATACCTATCCCAGGCGGGTATAGTGCGTTCCCACTTTTATCCCCAGCGCAGTAGCGTCAGTAGCGTCATGGATCCATTTTTCTTCTGCCTGAATTCTCGATTACATGACTGCTTGGTAAGGATTTGAAAGTCTGTCAACATCGCGCAGGTCTCCATCCGATAACCGCCCCTCCCCAAAAAAAAACCCCCAATGCACCGCTGCTACCGGACCTCCGGCATGAAATGGTCCGAGACACTGCGGATACATTCCGAACATTGGTCATCAGCAAACACCCTTATGTTATCGCTGTTGGTGGTGCTGCGGCGTTGCATACACACCGATGTATAACAGTGGTTGTGCTAAGAATGGGCGCACGGCTAAGCTCCAGATAGAGCAAATGGCGACCGCTCGAGGACTAGAGGAGAGCTTACTGTTGGCTGTGTAAGCACGGAGGGGCATCCCGTACCTTGGGCTTTTCCGTCTTGAGACAAGCAGCTTGGAAGGCTGCAATTGCGGGGGCTGATGATCGCCAAGGCGGGAGGGGGAAAGGCGTGCGGTGAAGATTCTGATAAGGCTGTCAGGCCTTTTTAAAATTTTCCAACGACACGTCGTCATTGCTTTTCATAGCCGTGGAAACTTTCCCGCAGATGGGGCGCAATATGCACATATACAAAGGGCAGTTGGAACCAAAAGTGCACACGTAGAAACTTTGTTCATTACAGTACAATGGTATCCGGTTATGAACGCTACAACGCTAACAAGCAAAAAAACAGACTGCCGACGCTTAAATGCAAATTCGCTGAAAACCGCTTTTTTGAAGACAGAAACCCATGCCTTTGTAGTCAAATTTTTCAAACCCTTTGAAATGCATGAATCGAATATGGCTGCTTCAGCCTGGTATCTCTCCTGGCTCCAGGCCTGCCGCTCATGCATATGATCGTTATGTCGTAAAACAAGTTGTAGTAATGGTATACAGAAGAAAGGAAGACGATCGCTTGTTGGTCGGATGATGCACATTCAAGTCTGAATGGAATGAAGCCTCCTGTGGACGCCAGCCAGGAACTCGGCCTCGTGAATGCGCTGGAACTGCGCCTCTTCCTCTTTTCCGTACAGACCGGTGCTTCCGTAGGGCCCCTTTCCGCTGAACTCGACGTTCTGCGGCCAGTATCCCTCGGACGAAATCTGGGCCAAGGAAAAGTCGCCGTGCACGGCCTGGAAGCCTGGCTCGAAGATGCAGTCTGCGAAGAAGAGCTCAATGTAGAGCTCGCGAGGAATGGCGCTCTCAGCGCGGAGCCGGATGAAGCGGCGCGCTTGCTCCAGTAGCTTCTGCAGGGCGTCGGTAGCCTCGTGGGTAGAGCGACCGTGCTCATGCTCGCACAAATGCAGGGCACGAACTTGCAAGTCACCCGCAAACTTGGCATCCTGGTTGGAGAAGAGGTGGGAGCACACAGATGGGAGAGAGATGGACAGGGTCTCCAGCTTTGGGCAGTTGCGGAAGGTATCGCAAAGATGCTCGCTGTCACTTGGGGAGCCAGGGTGTGGGTGCCAGAAACCATCCTGTGATCGCGGGCTGTGCTCCAAAACGCGGAGTGTCTGGCGAGAAGCCTTGACAATCGCCATAACACCATCAATGGTGATGGACGAGTTGCAGGTCAGGTGGAACTCCTCGAGCTGAGTGGCAGTGCGAGCAATGGCGAACAGGTCATTGTCGGTGATGGGCATGAACGATGTGTCGCCGAAAATCTTCAAACGGCGCAGTTGGCTAAAGTTGACCGACTGGAGGGGCTCTAGATCGACGAGGTTGTCCTTGTCGGCTGCTTGCTGCGATGTGGGATCGACACACTGCAGCTCTAGAGACTGGAGTGACTTGCCGCTACCTGTCAACATGGCTCGCCAGGCCTTGGCATCCACGTGCCTAATAGTGGTCCACGGAATAGAAAGGGAGGTAAGGTTAACACAGTTCGTCAAGCAGTCGAAAATAAGGCGGTCGGTCTCGGCGGTGTAGAAGCCATGGACCCACATGCGCTTGATCTTGGAAGCTACTTGGGGGTAGTCGTTGCAAATCTTGACTGTCCGCTTAAGGGAAGCGAATGGGTCACGGTACACAGCCGTACCAGTTGGACGGTCAATGAGCTCGTAAAGCGGGTAGCTTTCTCGCCTATTGGAGAGCTCAGCCCATCGCTGGATATGGTTAGCATGGTAGGACTAAGTGAAAGCTTGGGATGTTGCTTACCTCTCCACCCTTCCAGCGGCGAATGTAGACATCCTTGATCGAGTGCTCCAAAGCCCACTCATGCCACGTCCAGCAGACGGAACGGAGTGTGGCAGTGGCATCCCACTTGAGAAGCTCTGGGGGAACGGGGCCCCTCACATAGCGCTGGAGCTTGGCCCTCTCTAGTGGCAATGGCGCTTGCTGTAGTCCAAAGGTATATGTTGGACCTTCGCGGACATTGGCTTTGGTAACCTCGTGGAGGATCTGAGAAAGGATTTCGTACGGGAAGTCGTTGATGTTCATTGAATGTGCGGCAAGGGCAAGGTGGGTCGATGTCGCTGTGGTACAAGGTGCGTGTGTAGTACAAGTGGCGTGGTTGGTGGTGAGTAGTGCAGTTGGAGAGGCGTAGGTTGGCTTGATATATAAAGCAAGAGAGGAGGCAGCCCGTGAGTCTTATAGTCGCCACCAGTGACGGGCGAGCAGAGATTTATTCAGACAGTTAACACCAGGCACCGTGGTACGGAGTTAGTCAAAGGCGAAGACTTCCCCAGCTTTGTGCAGCCGCGCCAAACAAGCCGGACGGTGGGCCGAGACGGCTACAAGCCAGCAGGAGTGAATGGTTCCACAGCACAGGCGCAGGCGCACCAATGAGGGGGCGCGCAGAGCAGTTTGGAGGCTCGGTTCTCTTTACGTCACAGTGGCTTGGCGCGTCGGATGGGCTGGGGCGGCGATTCAACGCTCAAATTTGGCTTCACGTGGGCCAGGCCTTTGCGTTTCGATTACCCCCAGGAAATTCAATCCGCAGGCCACCTGACCTCGCATGACACATCAAAATCCTCGGACGAGCCCCCTCGTGCCTGCCTCCAGCCTGCGACCTGCGACCTGCGACCTGCGACCTGCATTGCTCACCACGCCGCCCACCTGCTGCCGATGCCGATGCATGCCGTCCGTCCTTGGTAGTCGGATTCGTCACGAAGCCGCCTCCTCCTCCTCCTCCTCCTCCTCGCTCTCACCACCTCCAAGCCTGTGGCGTCCTTTCCTTGTCCGCCTCGTCATCTCCTGTATCTCCGCCTCGCTCCGCCAAAAAAGCACCACCATCGTGATTGCTTCACCCTGTACTTACCATTCACACCGTATTTCCATCTCCGTGTCAAGACTCGCCTGTTCAATAAATGCACAGATGTCCACGTTTTCTTAGCCTCGCGCTTTTCCCCCGTCTCCTGACGATGCCATGCCTCGTGGACCCCCTTAACCCTCCTGTCTGCAGAATCTTCACGATGCATGGACACTCTCTTCCATTGACACGTATACATCCCCTCGCTTGCATCAGTTGAAGCCTAGCCTCGTCGCCATCGTGCTCGACCTGGGCTGATTTGGCAATTTCTTACGTCTTCAAAACTTCCCCGCCATGCACCTTCTCCACAGTCATGAATTATACCCCTTACGGGAACTACTTTAGCTCACCACTTGAACCGACGACACTCGCACCCATACTCCAAGACAATCACAGGTGTACGCCGCTCTGTCACTCACGCCACTGACTACATAGACGCGTCGATGCAATTCCGAGCACGTCAGGGTCGAAGGCAATTACGCACGCCAACGCGCATAGCAGACCGGTTGCTGCATTTGCCTGTGCCTCTTGACAACATCAACCACCATTCCCCCAGGCATGGGCAATTCATTCTTCTGGTTTCTATGAGCTAAGGATTGACGCTACCCCGCAAAACATCTCGGCCCCCGAGTGGTACCGTGTCTGGGTCTGTCCTACTTGGGGCTACCAGACCCGCGACCTAGCCGCGGCAGGAACATTCCGCTTCCAATCACGTCTTGGATTTTTACCTTTTTTCTTAGCACGGGCTTGTCCTGTTCATCTGTTTAGCGCATAGTACTATACCCTGAAAGTCACCGGGGCTGTACAACTCAGCTGACCCCGTCTTCTGAGCCCAGAGCCGCAACACCACCGAGAGGATCGTGCCTTTTTGCTTTTGTCTCCGCCGTCGACACTGGCGAAGCTGACGACGTGCTCGTTTCAGCGGGTGGATCCCGCCTCATGTGCTGGATGCCGTATCCGTGCTTGTTGGCTTGTTGGCCGGTGCGGGAGGGCCAGCTGCACCACTCAATGGTCAGGCGTGTCAATCTAACCCAACTTCGGGTCCGCGTAATCAATGCAGTCTGCGGTCGCCCTTGGAGAGACGATCCTTGTCTTTCACCACTACAGGACTGTGTTAACTTTAGCCTGTTAAGTCTTCTGGTGCTCTCGAGTATTTGAACCACCCGAGGCAACCTTCCGTAATGATTTGGCACCATCCATCACCCAACAGGGCTGACGACACATATCCACGGCATGGTGCAATACGAATCCTCCCCCACCATACAAAGGGGGTTTCTTTACGAGGAAGCTTACTTTTAGGTAACTGTCCCGTGCCAATGGTAAGATGGAAAGCCCAGCACTACAGTACCATGGTGCTGCACGGCTCTAGGCATGACGGGAATTCCGTCCACTAGTAGCACTGTGTGAGGTGACGGTGCAACACGAGATGGCATCCAGCAAAACCATTGGTGACTACGCAATCCCGCATACCATAGTTTTTACTATCCTTATTTCCGAGTCTACCGGTGAAACGACATACGGACATCATTTCTCAGAAAAGCAATACGTCACTGAGCAAAAGTCGCAAGAATCAATCAATATTTGGGTATCTTATCCATCTCGAAAAAACAAACAAACAAGCATGCTTGTACTACCAGCCCCCTCTTCTTATTCGTCTTCCTCGTCTCTCAATCTAGCCATGCTGTGCCTAGCCTACCGTCTCCGCATAGCGTTACTCTCAACATTGTTTGCGTGCGCGAGCAGATATTTACAGCACGTGAGCGTGTATTTGCACGCCTTTGTCCATCCTTCGTCCTTGTTGAGCGCCAGCTTGATACTCTGATCATGAATCCGATCCTTGCGTATCTCGTACGGCATCTTGACGCCCCCGCCGCCCCCGCTACCGGGAGGCCCCACGCCGCTAGCATTCGGAGGAGCTTGGTTTTCAACGAATTCGCCCAACTGCTTGAGGCATTCGAGGAAAGCCACCATGGCTGCGTCGAACTTGCGGTGCAGGAAACCAAAGTTGATGGGGAAATCTCCCGACGAGTACAGTTCTAGACGCTGTTTGGATATCTGTGGGGATGAAGCTGCAGTCGCTGTAGATGCATGTTGATGTCTTGTTGTTGACTCGGCGGCCGAGGCCCCTCCTTTGGCCTCTATGCGCGTAATAGTTGATGTGGAGCCCATAGGACAAAGCTCATAGCCGTCGAATTTGTAGCCTAGACGCTCTGCTAGAGTAGCGAGTAGCAGACAGGTCTGACCCCATGCGGCGTTGATTTCAGGCCAGTCGACATACGGGTTTGGTAGCCGTCCGAGGCGCAGACCGTTGATGGTGGCAAAGTGGTTGTCGTGCGTGATGTTGAAAGAATCATTGTAGACGCTTCTTCTCTGCAGCTGGTTCAGCACCTGGGCATCGTGAGCATACCTTGTGGCTAAAGCGTCGCGCTCGTTCTGGAACTCGGTCAAGGTCGTGTTGAAAGCGTTTCTGCTCTTCCAGAACTCGTTCTCTTCTTGATCCAGTATCCGCGCTTCTGCTTCCAAGGCAGCAATCTGATTGTCTAGTTCTGCCTTTTCGGCCTCGAGGTTCTCAAGCTGAGTAATGGCGGTGCTTTCGGCCTTCTTGGCTGCTTTGAGCGCTGCTTCGGCGGCTTTGACTTCTTCAGCGCTCGGCACGTCGGTGTTGGCGCGCCGGAGGAAGTCTACGTATGCGTCGCGCTCTCGAGTTGCTACGCCAAGTCGTTTTTGTAGCCCATCTATAAGGATCTCAGTGCACTCTACGCATATCGGGTGGTCGATATCGGAGCGCGCCGATAGGATCTCGAACATGCGATTCGTCGTCTCGAGTCCATCTGCTAGACTCGCACCTCCCGCCGTGCCCAGACCATTCTTCGCGCCTTTCCGCTTTGTTTTATCGTTGCCATCAACCTTTGCGTAATCTGCTTGCGTCTTGCCGTTGGCATTTTGGACTGGTTCTGTAGAGGGTGGGTTGATCATCGACTCGGACATGTGTACGTCGACAAACGACATGGCGGGGTTCTGAGGGCCATTTGAGCTTCGTGATTGCGGTGCGCCTTGGATGTTGCGTCTATATGTAGGTGTCTTTGCATCTTTGATCGCATCTTGGTAGGTCTTGAGATGTTCTGGAGGGTTTGGAGGACGCGACTGGCGGTTTGGCGAGATCTTTGGAGCCTGAAGCTGACCTGAAACTACGGAGTCTATACCGCAATCAATATGAGAACAGGACCCAGAAAGAGCCCGGGGGTGGTTGTACCTGTCAACAGCTTGAAGGCAGCCGGGTTGAGCTGGTCAATAGAAGCATCGATGTCTATGGGTGTCCGGCACTTCTGACAGGCCAAGCTGGCTAATTTTGTGTCGTTTGGCATAATGTCATGAGAGGTGGACCTTCATGCTGCTATGAAGGTGAGGTATTAAGGCGCTGTAGGAGGTGGATGACGATGCGGCGGTTCGTGGTTGGAGATCACCTGCAGACGGGTGGGGCTTCCCCGGCCGCCGCTAAGGTATGCTGGCGCCGACGCGTCCCAGCCATTGTCAGCTTTCGCGTCGGACCAATTAGTGCTTCGTCGCAAATCCTCGCAAACAACCCCCGCCCTTCACCAGCCCACCATCTCCATCGTACCTCGGTCGAGGCCGCCGCTCCTTTCTCACACATCCTAAAGCGCGCATTCATACACCATGGAGCCACCGGCGAAGCGCATGCGCATCTGGCAGTCTGTCGAAGTGGATGAGGAGGACGCCGAGTACATCAAGGCGAAGCAGAAACAACAACAAAAATTCAAGGGCCGACTCGAGTCGATATTTGAGAAATATGGAAACATGCATGAGTCAATGAGCGACGAAATTGATATGGCAACCAACAGAGTCGTGGTGGACAGAGGGCATTTGCGGAGACTGAAGCGCCAGGTCGGTCGGAGGGAGAATATGTTGTTGGACACTCTCGGCTTGGCTGTAGGGAAGGAGTCGAGAAATAAGGGTGAAGAGGAGGATGAGGAGGATGAGGAGAATTCGGAAGATGAACTGGCACCTACGCAGCCGGTGAAGTCAAAAGATAAGGAGCCTGAACTGGACGGACAACAAACCAGAATGCCAGATGCGCATTCCCCACGCAGCGATATTATTCCGTCAATTCCACAGCATTCAAATACCCCAGCGACTTCAATACCGCAATTCAACACAATGGAACCTCCCAATACGCCGAATCCAAATCCGACCCCGAACCTCCTACCGCTTGTTCAGTTTCCACAAACTCCCGCCGGACAGCAGGCGCAGGCTACATTCTATATGACTCTGACACAGGGAATTGGTGAAGTTATCCAGAAAGCTATGGCACAGTCCGGTCTCCTGCCGCCCAACTTTTCTACTCCATTCGCAAGCGTTGCTCCGCCACCGACTACGCCGATGATCACCACAGCCGATAAGATCGCACCCGCCACGGACCCAAAATGGTTCTTCCCACCTCTGTCTGCTGCACCAAGACAGGATCCAGTGGCTCAATCCAGCCCTATTCCCACTCGTAGAGTAGCTGCGGCAGCTGAGCAAGCCGACCAACCAGTCGTTACTTCGTTACCACGTGAGCATGAAGGAGAGCTATCAGCAGAATCGATCCCTCTGGTCGAAGAAGCCGCTCCCTCAGTTTCTCGTGCAAGGTTACAGGAGAGCTCACCCATTACACATCGCCGTACCAGTCCGCGCGTTGAGATTCAGAAACGCCGCATTCGTGCTACTAGAAAATATCATTTCACACCAGAAGATGACGCATACATAAGCAGAAGAAAAATGATAGACCACTCATCATGGGTTGCTATCAAGGAAAGCCAGGAAAAATGGAAAGACTGGCCCGCAAGTGCGATCAGCAGGCGATGGGCTGTGATTAAGGATCAAAACCTGCATCTGCAATCGCTAGTTGTAGCTGACTCGAGTGATAACGCCCATGGCACCGATAATGAACTGGATGAGCAAGTAGAGACTCCTGTGACGCAGTCCCACCATCTGCCAACTCCCAGCTCATCCGAACATGAAGACAGTCATAGGGAAGCCACCGAACCAACACAAGCTTTCAAGGGTTTTTCCTCTAGCGCATATTATGACGACGACGAACGTGAACTACTGTCTCTAGCTGGTTCAGATGCAGAAGAAGAGGGAGAAGAGGAAAACGAGGGAGAAGAGGGAGAAGGAGAAGACCATGAAATTCCCTGCGACGAAGAAATACCAGACGCCCTACCAGAAGACAGCATAATACCCTCTATAGAAACGACAACCATGATCGACGAAGACGACTTACAACGAGACCTACTCGAAAGCCTAGCCATGTACGAAGCCACCATCACACCCCCGCGCCAAACATCAATCCATATAAAACCTGAACCAATATCACCATCCGCACTCACCACGCAACAAGAACCCGCACTCACTCGACGCTCAGAAACGATCCCAGACACACCCATGGTCAACGATGATACCAACGACTCCACACCCCACCAACCACCTACACCTATAGCCACAGCCTCGCCTCTCCTCTGCCAAATCTGCAACCGCACCTTCAAAACACCCCAAACCCTCGCCCGCCACCTGTCAAACCCCAGAAACACTCACACACATCCCGCACCACCACTACCACTAACACCATCTCGCAAACGCAGCATCTCCTTAGACCTCATATCCTCCACCACCACCATTCCCAACGACAACGACGATCTCCTCCCCCCAACAACCCCCCGCATCAAACGCGAACCCAGTACCGACTCTCCCAGCTTCTTCGTCTCGACGTTTCAAACGCCCAGAGCAGCGGAGAGGAGAAATAGCAGTTGTGGGTCTGGTTCGTTGTCTACGTCGAGGATTGATCGGAGGGCGCACGTTAAGCAGTTGAAGCAGTGTTGGAAGGGGGTTGGTGGGACGCCCGTGGCGTCTGGGTCGAAGGAGAAGGGGAAGGGGAAGGGGAGGAGGAGTTTGGGGGGGTTAGTGGGTGGGAGGAAGAGAGTGTGGGTTGAGGAGAGTGAGGAGAGGGATGAGCTTTGTTTTTGAGGAGAAGTGGGGGATGGGGGCAAGTTTGTAGAGTAATGTGTATTTTTTTGGGAGGGGGAGGCTATGTGAATTTCATGACTTGCTTTTTATTTGATTGACTTGTCGTGCCTTCTTCTAACTTACATACATGGGTTTATGTGAATCAAATCTTTTACCATTTCTCTACTTCACAAACATTCTTACCTTTCACTGCCAGACCTTCTTTGCCTCTTCCAGATCATTCCCTAATACTCCCAACTTCTTCAATGTACCCAAACTACGGTATTTGAATCGAAACACGGCATACGGCTTCTCCAGGCTATCCACATACTCTGGTCTCGCTATCGCATGGCCGTAGGGAATGGGTGTGCTGGTTCGGACGACGTGCGCTGTTCCCTTTTTAGAAGCTGCGGCGGCTGTGATGGCGGATGGCAACGAAGGAGAAGGCAAGAGGGATGCAGGTGGAGGTGGTGGAGGAAAATACCAGTGGGGTTTTGGAGGTTGAGCTCGGGACCTGGTAGGGGATTTGGAACTTTTGTAGCGACGGGGAGTAGTGGTATGGTCAGATTGCTTGTTTTTCATGTCCTTTTCGTCCTTTTCTTCCTGAATAGCAGGCCGGGGCTCATTGTTCCCCTTCATCCCGTCGTTTTTCTGTTCTTTGCCCAAACTCATTTCAAGGACACCTTTTAGCTCTTGAAGGGCCGAGGAGTCCTTTTTCTTAGATTTCGCTTTTTTTGTTCCGGATGGCGCGTTCGGCTTGATAACACCCTGCCATCCTGTAGGTTCTGGGTTCTTACGATCAGTAGGCGGAGTAGTCCATTTAATATCCCCATCGTCGTCATCGGAAGATGAGTACCAGGCGTTCTTATATTGAGTCTTGGGCTTTTCAGTTTCCCAGGTGGAATCTTGAGGCGTGGCAATGGCCCAGGAATACACCCTGTTGCTGCCCCAAGTAGATGAGGTTGTGGAATGACGATCCTTTTCACCGGCACCAATAGTGTTCCATGTATATTCCTTCGCAGATGGTGCACATCGAGCTGGAAATATGCTACTGGTATTTTTTACGGCCGCAGGCCAAGCTGGAACTCCTGATGCAGAAGCAACCGCATCAGCGTGTCCGCTTGTTCGTCTTGACTGTTTATGCGTTGGGAGCGCGATATTTGGGCGACTTTGAACATCTGGTATCACTCGCGTGATTGTAGAAGGAGCATGTATCTGTTCAGAATCCATGCGCTTCAAGTTTTCAGCACAAAGTGGATACCGAGAAGAAGTTCGTTCATGATAAAATTGCGTAGACTTCGAGGAACGGACACGACTCTTTGATCTCTTTCGCGGAGTGTGTATATGACTTCGAGAATGTGACGGTTGTATCGTGTTGTCTGAGCTGCTGGACGAACTAGTACAGTACGAGGGTGAAGCACTCCCTGCCCATCTTCTGCGTTCCAACAAAGTTTCATTATCTCTCTTGCGAGGTCTAGATCGTGACTTGGAACGTGACTGATGCTTTCTTGATGTATGTGTAGATCGCTGCCGAGGATGTATATATGAAGATGCTCGGGAAGCTATCTGAGCATTAAAGTGAGGAGCTGCAGTTGTGGCAAGTGGTATCTCCAACTGGCTCGAATCCTTCCACTCCCTTCCTCTACTCGTCTCCCAAGTTTCATCAGTATCCCAAGAATCTGACGGAGTTTCTTCGTGGGAACGCCACTCATTGACATACCCGGAGGTTTCTGTCTCCCACAAATGCTCTTCGTTCTGATTTGTGTGGGCTCCCATTTTGCTCTTTGTCTCAAGCTGGCCCCACCCACTTTGTGACTGAACCCAATCTGATGCACGGTCACTGCGCTTATTACGTTTGGATGGTGACGCCTTGAAGGAATGAGGTACCTGCACAGGCCCAGTGCGTGGAGATTCTGGCCATGCACCAGGGGCCTGGCTTGTCTTGTCTTCTTTCTGCGATGTGTGGTCTGAATCTCTGTCATGTCGTGCAGACTGGGCTTCTGCCCGTCGTGACTCCTCTACACCCTGTTTGACTGCCGCCTTCAATACGTTTTTCAGCCACGCAGGATCAACACCACTTGTTTCCGGGGTTGTAGCCCTATTATTGCCGCGATGAGTAAGTTTTCTATCGGGTGGAATAGGTCCACTGCCATATTGAAACCCCGAAGGAGGAAGGCTTTCTAAGTGTCGTGTTCGCGGGCTGATCGCTTCCGAGTACCGAGAGCCGGACTTTGAGTGACGTGTGATGGATACTCTAGAAGGTTTGTCCCGTACAGGGAGAGTGTTGTGTTGAATATGTGTCTTGGAGCTCTCATGACTCTGCAGTGTTTCGGCGTACGGCGCGCGATATGACGCCCAAGGCGCTGGTGGGCCAGATATATTGTGGGAAATATTGAAAAACGGTCCGCGGTCATCGTACGTGGATCGATTGTGGGAGCTTGGTGAGTCTCTTAAGCTAAAGCGATGGTCAGGCCAGTCACCAGCGCCGTCCAAGTTGATCGCCAAAGCAGATTTCGCGTCTCGACTGCCAGCACATCGCAGCACCACGACTTCGATACATCCTGTGCTGTCAAGAGCGGCCGGTGGGTGGAGGTTTGACGCATCATCCGCAGATGCTGCAACTAGTCAGTCACTGTCACGGAAGCACACCATATCGAAACTCACCAATATCCAAATTATCAAAAGTCCATTCGCGCGCAATCATGGACCCATCCTTCTGTCTCTCCTCTTTTTGGCGTACCCTGAAGTCCACCAAAGAGCGACTGTCCGACGGTTTTCTGAGCTTGATATCTTGCCTGTTGCGATTGCACTGGTAGACGCCGTCGACGTAGACAAAGATGGCGATTCCCGGCGCGATGAATGTGTTGGATGTGAGGTGAATTGAGAAGGATTGCGGCTGGTTGGGTACAGGCACGAATGTCTCTACGAAGCCGTCGCCGTAAGTGGTACCGTACTCTGGTAATACGTGTTGGGTTTGCGATAGTTCAATGCTGCAGTTGAGGTCCTTCAACGACGGCATTTTGAAGAAGAGATGTTTCGAGGGTTGTCGCGGGGTGTTCGTTTGCCGCTGAACGGGGCAAAGTCTTTGGTGTTACTGGGATGTCTAGGGTGAGCTCATGTAAGTGAAGGCTGCTTGGCAGTGACGACTGAGCACTCGTGAGGAAGGAACGTCCATGAACATGTCTTTCACTCGTGTAAAGTATTCAAATACCTTTCCAAGGTTGAGACTACCTACAAAAAGAATTGGCGCTTGTCTATTCACAAATATGTCATATTCACATATTCGTGGCTCCGATAAACACGCTCCAAACAACATATTCAGCGTTCAATCGTAAACAAACATTGTCCCCAGGTCATGTGTCATTATCTTCAATGAGATCGTCCATAGACCAAGTGCAGACACCCGCGCCATCTCTTGTCCAAAATAAGTGGCACAATATTTGACACGTGTGTCGTTTATCAGGGTACACCAACACGCAGTCAAACGATATCCGTATCTTATGCCGGACATTTGTATCCAGATTGCATAAGCCCCCTCGCGTAAATATCACAACGCTTTTGTTTATGCCCTACGAGTCCGACTTCATCGTTCCGCAAAGCGAACAGGTCCACCATTGGTTTTCCTGTAATTAATCAGCAACACAATTCATACAAACTGTATTCTAGGAATAACCTTACCATGAAGGTCCCGCACTCGAGACAATTCCAGCCTATCCTACCTCTTGCAGGTTCAAACGGTGTGGCACCCTGCCCCCGCAGTCCAGACTGCGGCGGTGGTTTGGGTAGAGTAGGTACCGTATATGATGATGCGAAGCGTTTATGTTCTGGTATGGGCTGAGGTGGCTGTTCGAGGCCACAGGCACCACAAGCAAGATAGTCGAGTGGGTTGTGTAGTGTGCATTGCGGACACGCCCACTTATTCGGGTCAGTGGGAAACGTGACAGACTGCTGTGGCGGAGATGGTCGCGGTGGTGTAGGGGGAAGACGCTTATTCCGTCGTTGCTCTTCATCGTACGAAATAAGGCGCGAGGGTGTCCTTGCGGATGTTGAAGGGGTACGTGTTAGTGCTTTTGATGACGTTTGCGCGGTTGATCGTGGTAGAGGTCGGCCTGGAAGAGGATAGGTTGTGCTGCGTGTAGGGTGAAATTGAGTTGGTGGAGCTGGCGAGGTGCTAGGGGAAGGTGGTGCACTGTCGAACTGCAGTCCGTTTTGAGGATCCCAACTTAGCCCACCGTTTCCAGTCGGGGCGCCTAATCTCTGCATTTCCTCGTCATACATGAGATCTTGCAAGGCTTGAGCAATCGCCCAATCATTGGCATCATCTTGCTCAGCGGTGGTGCGAAATCTGTCCTGCTCTTGCTGATTGACCTGGTTGACTAGCCGTTGAGTCTCAGAACTTCCGCTTGCACAACCTTCGGTGATGCTGTTTCTGCGTGAGGCCGCGTCTGCGATGACCTTACGCATATCAACGCCGCGTGCTGTAGGTCGCGAACCGCCTAAGCGATGCCCTCCTGCATTGGCGTCGGTCGACGTCCGTCGCTTCTCAGCAGCGATCCGAGCCTGGCGGCGCATCTCGTCGAGCGGTATGCGTCTACCGCCGAGTTTTTGGCCTTGCGTCAGGAATCCCTCACCAGTGTAACCCTTCATAAGAAGAGACTGATGCTCCTCTCGAAGTTCGTTCCAGAGATTGTTGAAGTCGACATTGTGAGGGCCAATGACTATGTGGCAGAGTTCATGCAGTAAGGTATCTGTGACTTGCTCCAGGGACAGGAACTGCCTGGAATCATAGTGATATCTCAGCCGGATCAGGATTCTCTCTGTGCGGTTGATATTCAGGCCTGGGAGCTAGTCAGTCGAGTATTTCGGGGCGGCTTCCGCCCTCCTACCTAGCAGCTGAGGCTCGTCAGGAAGGAACTCGGCAAGTATTCCAACCTTCCAGCCTCGTTTCCTCATCATGGGCTTGACCATGGACGCAGCCTTACGGAGCGTATGCAGCGCCTCGCCATCTCGTGGAAGGTGTTTCAGGTGCTCATAGGCATCGAAATGCGCATCAATTTCCCTCATCGTGTGGCGATGTTCCTACAAGTCAAGACCGTGCACTTTGGGTTGTTGATGGGTCGTCCTTGGATGTAGCGCAGGGTCCTCTCTTTCGTTGTGCTGGCAGCGAATCTTGATCAAGTGAATGCAAACAGCCCCTGAAGGGGCGAAGGAGCAGATGAATTAAAAAAGCCAAGATTGCTAGGAAAGGGCTTGACGATACCGACAGCCACGTAAGCAGTTCACGCGTTGCTCTTGGTGGTTGACGACGACGATAGCGCCGGACGGAGTCATTCTGTGCCACCAGGCACGGCTATTTACAGCCTATTATTGTCTAAGCGAATGTGAAGCACGAGCGAGTGCAGATAAGGCCTGCAGCTGCAGGCCTATAAAAGGGACCGTGTCCACGAGAGAGAGAACGGTGGCGCAAAAGCCACTGGCCCTCACGTGCGACCGTGTCCAGGATGATTGCGCGAGTCATTGGCTGGCTTGACGTAGTGCATTTGCGTGCTTGCGACGACCTCTGGAGGCGACCTCTGCAAAGTTTGAAGCACCGCCTGTTGGAACAAGTTTGTTTTTGAACTTGGCCACGTTCTGAAACCTGCGAAAGCATGTCGAACAACGACCAGCAAGTCCTCGGCGTGGTGAGTAGGACAGAATTCGCCATCTGCTCCTAGCTGACGTATACAAAGCTGGCTGAGTACTCTAGAGACGTTCGCAACTTCACGGGATCAATATGGGACGCAACAGATGCGCATTTTGCACATGTAGCTGGCTATATTAAAAAGAGCCTCCCCGAGACATGGCTTCCGGAGCGCGCGCGACCGCGGCCACCACCTCCACCCCCGCATCCCATTGCTGGCGCCTACCTATATCGCCTCCAGGACTGGGTCCTCAGGCACCGCGCTTTAACGGCCGCCATTGTTGCATTCTGTGCGACTGGAGGGTTTTTGGTATGGCAAGAGCAGAAGCGGTACAACCGTAAGCGCAGAGCAAAACGAGCGGGCAATGGGGCGAGGATGGAAGTTGTAGGTGAGTATGCGACACAGTCGAGCCTAGTTGGAGGACGGAGCTGACAGGCACAGTCCTCGCCGGACCGCCAAATTCGCCCATTGTACGATCGCTATCGCTCGATCTTGAGCGACGCGGCTTCATTGTATACATTGTATGCTCCAATATGGACGAGGAGCAACAAGTTCTAGGCGAGTCAAGGGCCGACGTGCGGCCACTGCACTTGGACGTAGTCGACACAATGGGCACACAAGAGGCCATGAGGCGTTTCAATGAGCTTCTCACCAAACCGCATGTCGCCTTTTCCGGGGCAACCCCGCATAACCTTAATCTGCGCGGTGTTGTTCTGGTTCCTGACTTGATTTACCCTACTGGCCCTGTAGAGACGGTTAGTCCTGAGCTCTGGTCGGATGCGCTCAACGCCAAAGTGCTCAACACGATTGCAGTGACGCAAGCGTTGCTGCCGACAGTGTGTGAATTCAAGTCGCGCGTCCTTATGCTCACACCGAGCATCATTGCGTCATTGCGGCCGCCGTTCCATAGCGTGGAGACGACGATTGTCAGCGCACTCGAAGGGTTCCTGGCGTCGCTCAGAGGCGAGCTGGGTACCCTTGGCATCGAGGTGTTGCAATTTCATCTCGGAACATTCGATCTGACAAACGTGGGCCCCAAACATCATGTGCAGTCGCGGTCGATCGGCAGCCCACATGCTTGGCCAGCAACGACGAGAGCGTTATACGCAAGCAATTTCGAGGCCCAAGCACGCGTCGCGCAGAGCCACGGCCTGCTCAACCAAAGCGGCAGCTCAGTTCGGGAGCTACACAATGGCGTGTTCGATGCGCTCACACAGCGAAGACCGCAAAAAGTATGGCGTGTTGGGCGTGGAAGTGTCACGTATGATCTGGTGGGCAACTGGGTGCCTCGTGGGCTCATAGGGTGGATGATGGGCTTGAAGCGCGTGGCTCTCGACACTGCATCCAAGCCGCGGCTAGAGGACAGCGTACAACTACAGTGCTGGGAGAAGGTCGATGCGGTCGCCTAGACGGAACGGCATACGAACAGTCTGGGGTGACAGGATGCAGGTGCATGGCAGATGGCGTGTGGAGGGAAGTTTGATGACTATCCACGTCATAGTCGGACTGTGCTTGCGGGAGCTACAGGGCGCCATGGCACCGGTGTGGACAGTGAAATTGCAGCGCACACGTGTGTTGTTATTTTTTTTCCAGCATGTGTGCGCGGTGTTAGGTAATGGCGGATGAGCGATGGATTGAGTTTCCCTCAGCATTGGAGGAGCAGCGAAATGAAACCCGGGTTGGAGAAGGGGATGAGCTTGGCGGCGCCCCTGCAGGGAGCAAGTAAGCAGGCACAGGTGAGCAGACACAGGTAAGCAGGCACAGGTGGTGGGTTAGTAGCGAGGCGAGCAGTGACAGCCGGGCCCCTTGTGTATAGTTTAGACGGGCTATTGTCTAGAAATCTCAGCTCTCGACATCGGGCGTTGCAAGAACAGTGGTTCGCAGGATGGGCAGCAATTTAAATGAGCAAAAAAGTTCTGGACCGTGACATGGTCCTCGGGTGCGCGGGAGCAAATGAGCAGCGGCAAGGAGTGTGCGACGACGGCATTTTTGCAGTACTAATGATTATTGGCGGCCGTGGCCCAAAGCGGCCGCGAGCCGACCAAGGGCGACTACGCGTGGTGCTAGTGAAACGAGGCAGTCGGAGCCGTGGGTGTCGTGTCGCAGGTGTGGTGGTGGGGGTTTGGCAATGAGTGAGACTGTGTGCGGCATGGGGGCCTGATGGTGGTGGCAGTAGTGGCAGTGGTGGTGGTCGTAGTGTAGGTGGTTAATTGACCATGATGGGACGGTATGCGATGCAAATAGCATCATGATGCTCATATCGTATAGACGACGGCCTACTGCACGCTACACCCCAAGTACATTGCCGTGGTCATGCAGCAATAGGGAAGGCGGCGCG